GTTCGCTGACGTCATATGTTTACATCAGCTGTCCAATCATATTTTTCCTCTATGTTCCGTAAACGTTGCTCTCAAGAGCAAGGATTTTTCATATAGGTGTATTTTAATCTCCCGTCTCTGAGGAGTTCTGACCCAAATCTGTCGTCAAATGAGATTGTCGTCTCCATCGGCATGCCTTGAGAGATTAAAGCTTACTTTACGAAGCATTCCCACGTGAGTGGCGCATTTGACCCTAATAAAGGTTGAACTGTACTCCAGATCTACAAACTACCTGTACTTGTGTGTGTGTGTGTTTGCTTGTGTGTTTGTTTGCTATTTTCTTTCTTTCTTTCTTTCTTCACTGACAAAATAATATTGTGAGACAAGCGGTTTTTTTCAGATTTGTAGTGTACCCTTCAGTACATACCTTGATTAGATTTTTGTTGCAAATTTAGGAATTTTACAAAATTTGGGATTTTTTTTCGATATGGTCGCTCTGTACCTTTATAGCGAGGAAAGTATTTACTATAACACAGCATTCCGGGCGAAACAAAACATCCATTAGCATAGTTATCACAATGCTTCAACCCAAAAATGTCCGTAAACCGAACATACGATGTCATTCCGTTATCCAGAAATAAGATACGAGGCTATCATACAAGGTGCTGTGGTTCAAACGTTAAAAAAAATGACTCCAACTTTCGCTTAGTTTACAATAGGAGCAGGTACACAATATAGTTTTGATACATCGAATTCACCATATGGTTTGGATTTCCAGCACTAAAGTTAATTGCTTATTAAAACTGGTTTAATACTCTATTTTCGTCATTCATGATTTTCCCGTGAGTGTTCTCTTCCATGTGAGGGGAAGAACCTTCAACCTCTCTCAACCGATCGCAATTTTCCACTAATATCGTAAGTCACGCCTGGTGCCCAGCGTGTAATAAGCCCTCATCAATTTTCTGCACCCTTTGTATAGGCATTTAGGTCTATGTATGGGGCATTACTCTATTCAACACCATGATGATGTTTTCTTCCGCTGAGTTCAGTCCCCTGGTCATGCGGACCTGGAGCATGGGTAAGGCACATGCTCCTACTGGGTCTTGGGAATGAGTTTGTGAGGTTGAAATGCATCCAGGACGCAACAGCGCATTATGAGGATGCAGCTGTCGCGTTAACCATAAAATAGATTTTTTTAATGAAAAAAACGTATGTAACAAATGAATAATGTTGGTATAAATTGCATGAGTATTGCACAAGCCATTATGGTCTGACGTCAGAACATTAATTGCATTTTCAAATGTATTATTCTGCAATGTAAATCAGAGATTGGGTTTAAACACTGTACAAACATAAAACTTATTGTTCTGCTGATTTTTCTTTCCCTGACCGGTTTTTACGGGGACCCTTGCACGTGGATTGTAACTGGCTTCCCCCTTATAACACATTTTAGTATTCACCGCATGCAGATTTAGGTGAAGTTAAAGCGTGTGTATTGTAAGCACTTCATATTCTTGCATGATGCAAACAGCACCGTTTCAAGACATCCAATTTGACAATGTACCGACAATTTGCATATGGGTAAAGCATCATTGCTGTAATTGGCGATATTCCGATACTTCAAAAACTAGCAGAGTTATGTTGTTGAATATTGCAGGGTCTGTGCGGCCTTGGTGTGCATCTTTAACGTTACCAAATAGCTGATGTTGATGATGGATGTGCTAATATGATGTATATTACATATCCGGTGCACATCACTAGTCAATTTTGTAACAGTTTAATTTGTACCGACATTATCAAGTGTTGAATTAAGCTCCATATACGGGGATTTTGTTAAATTAGTATGCTGTTTTAAACTCGCGAGAAATGTGACAAATTCAAAAGAATCAAAACATACACCCAGCTCAAAGTTTGCAGTCGCTCAGGGACATAAATAGAAAGAGCAAAACAACTTAGAACTTGCACCATATTCGAAATGAGACATCAACCCACTTTAATATTTACAGAATCTGACCCAGATACGAAAGTGCTGAAATTTTCAAGAGCACATTTCTTCCGGACCATTAAGTATCGAAACGCAACGTGAAAAGTTGTATTTTTGGCCATCTTTACGCCTTGTGTATTAAAACGTCTCTTTTTCTTCTTCTTTGTATTTGGTAGTGACCTAGAAAAGATGTAATGGAGGACATTGCCCGCAGCTTTGAAACACATCATCAGTGCATACTTTAGCATGCAGCTTCTGGGCCCAACATGATGATATGGTGAGTATTTGAAGTATTACTACAACGCGGAATATCTTGGACGGCATCATTACTTAACGAAAGCCCTTTGGCAGTGTTGTCACTGCATTCTTCCTGTATGATACAGTGTTGGACTAAATATTTCGCAAAGCAAATATTCACACAGTTAAAGGTGAAGCAGGAGATAAACATTGGCCCTTTAATGTTTATTTACTGTATGCAGGAGGCACTCTCATTCATAAAAAAAAGCTTTGTGCTACATAAGATACAATAATGTCCACCTGAATCCGAAGACCCACCGCTGTAAAGTCTTTTAAAGCAAAATACCACTGCCAGAAGCATGCCGGTAATACATAATAATAGGTACCTGGATTATCATCTTCAGCATCATTATGTCGTTCTGTGAGCATAAAAGAAGTAAAAAAGTGAAGTTCGGTCGGGCTGGCTGGCGTGGTGAAGTGGATACCAGAAAGGATCAGTATTGAGGATAAGATGTCTGTGGTTCGAATGCACTCCTTTTTTTTCTCTCTCTCTCTCATTGTGTTCTTTTTTAAAGTCTGTTTTCCGTTGGAAGAGATCAGTTTAGAAAGCTTATTCAATATATTATATTCAAGTTTGTTTCATGCAAGGGAAAACGCTCACTTCAAAGCGTTATCAGCTTGAGCCTCGCTTATATCCCGTCTACCATATCACATAATACCATAACAGATTATTGTTTTGGCATTCGGAATATTGGCATTTTGCCATAAAAGCCTCGTTTATTAATAGCAAGAGATAGTTCGAGGATGTGATGTCAAGTGCTATGGTCTTTTGTCAGTAAGTAGCTTGATGAGTTTCAATGACTATTTCCTTCTCTCTCGATAGGTAATAAGGCTTCTAAGGATCCATTTTGAGGACCGACGTTTAAGAGTAAATAGGGTGAATTTTAAGAAAATACGTGATTTTTTTTAAGTTGACCAAAATCATTGTTTGAGATGAAGCTGTTGCTTTAGAACCGATGAAGTTTTTTTGCACATACCTATTTAGAATGCCTCCATGCGTGTGTAATAACGTTAAATGGTTTTCTTCCTGTTTTCGCTTCTTTTTAGGAAAGTCGACTCCGGGGAAGTCTTTGAATTATCCTCAGATTTGAAGCTGTTCTACCAGCCGATACCGACAGGCAGAGTAAGGCCTGAGTACTGTTCTCCTCTATAGTATGCCTACACAGCCGAGTAAATATGCACATCCATCGATAACACACAGGCTGCAGGTAGGGAAATGCCCGGGAGTAAACACAGTATCTTGCCGGGGTTTCTGTTGACATCTTCCAGTCATTCTCGTTGGGGGGGGGAGAGTAGATAGAGGCAAAACAACCATCTCGCTAGACTCGGGGGTGGGGTATACGGAAAAGATTAATGGCTAGAGAACTGATTAGAGCTGCATCACGCGTTACAGTGTCACCGTCCTTCGTCAGTAAAGTTGATGATGAAACCTGATAGGGAGCCAGTAGTAGTTTGTAGCTATATCCCATCGGCGCCCTGTCTTTGCTTGCATCGTATCGCCGTAAGGAACATTCTAGCCTCTTTCGGGTAAATGGTCAGGGGTCGAATATTCTGAATACACGCCGAATTAGTGCAGGTTAGGCCCCCATACCATCATATTCAAAGCCAGGCCCAGTGTCTTTATATGGTGAATGCCGGTGCACGATCTGCTCAGTGGAATCATTTATGTCTTGATATCATTTTTAGTTTTTTTTCAACTGAAGTTGCAAAGTGATACCACATGTCCTTGAAAATGGCATTCTGCCATGCCCAGTATCGTGAAATACTTTTCTTGTAATCTTTTTATTTCCCACCCAAAGTGCAGAGATGTACATAAAATGTCCCGCTGACATGCATCCTTTTAAAGACATGTTGGATGAGGAGCACTCGTTCTCCTGCGTCAAACGACATTTTAATAATCAACACAGCGGGTCTTCAGGATTTTGGCAGAGGAAATGGAGTCATTTAGCCCAGGTCGTCGCGTGTCTGGTCCGTCCAATTTTAATTCAGGCGATCAGTCATGTGGTGGGTTATGACCTCATCGATATGCGGGATTATTACGCCAGACAAGGCCCGGATAACAGCATTGCTGCTTATCATGAGCTGCGTACTTTACCCGTAGAATTGATGCCAAAAATGCGACATGATTAACAAGGGACCTAACATGCCTCTCCAGCCTGAGGCACCTTAATTTTCAGTTAATTCTTAATTCTTCGCTCCCTGTAGTCGTTGATTGAAAAGTGCAAACGTACCATGAACGCGTGGCCTTGTATTAGCCAGGAGCAAAGGGACCTTTTTCAACCTTACTGCCTGATCGAAACTCAGAAGTGTAGTGCAGTAAAAAATTACATCATGTATTCGGAGAAAATAAACATTGGAAGATGTTGTGACCCAAGATATATCAAATTAACTTAACTGGAAGCAAGCAGGCTAAAGTATATCAAAGCTTTCCGCCAGTCCCGCTTCACAATTTCAAAGCTGCGGATAAGAGTGTCCATTAAATCACCCAAAATTGACAGTGGGAAAACAGGTTCACACTTTAGAGACAATGTTCGATATACCACATGTATCCTAAATCTTAGTTATAAGTTGTTCAAAAGTGACATTGTTGTACCGACCTACTATCTTAGGTACTTCAACTTCACCCCCCCCCCCACATGCAGTCAATCTATGTCAGCCTGCTGAAGGAGGTGTATACAGTGATAATAAGCATGGTTGTTGTGAGATTCTGGATTGAATAAAAATTGCATGAAGGACCTACCGAGGGAAAGACGAGAGCTGCCACTCCTTCGCTTAAGCTCCTCAGATCCAGCTTCCTCCTGCTGACAGGCTCATCTTTTTCATCCATCTCACTGGATATGGACATGAAGGAGGCGGTAGACATGTCCGGAGACAGAGACATGCTGGATTGTGTCTGCGTCGGCATCTCCTCCTCGGGGGAACACTCAGACATCCCCGACGTCTTGCTCATCTTACTGCCCATGTAGCTACACATGCTTTCCGAGTTCAGAGCTACTAATTTCGGAACAGAGATTGTTTCTGGGCAACTCGGATGGGTCCAAGTTGGTGCTGTTTTCTTGCACTCTTTATTTTAGTCTGGTACTTTTCTGTCCGAGCAGTCTGCTGAAGAGGATTTGGGGAATTTTTGTGCTGTCTTGCCCTTTACCCACTGGCTCACAGAGCAATGATAAGATTAAATGATACCTTTAATAGTGGGAGTCGCGAAAGCCACTATCGCTTTCATTCCGATTAATAGCGCACGGGATGAAACAAATGCTGCACTGTACACAAAGGTGAGAAAGGCAACAGGAATGCCCTACACATGCGCGATAGGACTATGGGTGGATGTCTTAGTTTCTTTTCACAAGTTTATGTCATAAATCAGAGTTGGTATGCTTGATTAGTCTACGTACGAGCTGCATTCAGCAATAAAGACATCCAAGGTAGAAAGTCTGACAGGCCTATATCCATATGTACACACTTGGAGCACCGCTAGCGGGCAAAATTTTCGTGCGGCGTCCAGGCCATAATGATGGCTTCAGTGCTGTGTTGATGCCGACTGACAGTATACTAACCATAACATCATACACTTTCCCGTGCCAAGTGCACTCTGTGTGCTGTATATGTAGTGGTATAATACACGTGCATTGCTTCGAGTACCGGTATTACATATCATATAAGCAATAAATATAGTCTTACTGTTGGGGCGTTCAATATAGTTGTCGGGTAGGCTGGTCACGCAGCACTCACGATCCCATAAACACCGCTGCACCTTCTACATCCACGCACAAGCACCGTAGATGGCCGTTTATTAAATGGGTAAGAATTATGCACTAGCAGGACTAGTGAAATGCGAGCGGGTATAGGCTCAGTCTTTCCTCCGTGAGACCAGGTAATCTTGAGGCTTATCCTTCATGTCGTTGAGCAGCAGGGTGTCCGTCTCCGAACACCGATAGGGATTCACCGCGCACGCCAGTTTTTTTTTCTCTGCTCGGTCCACGCACGAAGCAAGGATCATCATATACCCCGCCGCGACGTCGCTTCGCATCTCAAGGCCGCACACGAACTTCGCACCGAACGGACAAACAAAACTCATTACCTCCGGCCACAGAGGGCGTCCTTCAGAATATAGGCGGGAAAAGTGACGAGGAAGGAATTAATGAAACAAGGGGAGTATGGAGAAGGGGCATTAGATGATACCGCTATATATTGTTGTTATCTAGTATTCCGTCACCAGTGACATGCAGTCGTCATTGGACCATGCTATACAGATGGCCTACATGGAGGCACAATAACTTGCAATACACAGTTGGCGAATGGCCGCCCTCTTTCTTTTTTTTTAATATTCATACTTGCCCTCTTTCTCAAATCCCCCCCCCAAAAAAAAATTCATATTTTTCAAAGCTGATGAACCAAAGCAGGATTTTTCGCCTGGAAAAATGTCTCGCTTGCGTGCAAACGATATTGACTTTTCGATTTCTTAGTGCTCATAATGACTGATTCGAAACGGTCCTTGCCGTGCCATTAATAACAACTTGACTTTAAGTTAGTGTTGTTCGTGCCTAGGGCAAGAAAGTACTGGAACAGTAAACCTACAGTTTTTTCCCAAAGTATAAAGATTTTGTACTTTGAATAGACACGTCCCAGCTGTGTGTAGAGTAGGTGTGAAGGCCAAGCACCTGATTGAGGTCATTCCTTTTTCTTTCTTCCTGAATCAGTTCAGGTTTGCTGAGGCATGTTTTCATAACAAGCAAGGAGGTTGGGCAATTGCTGCTTTACGGGAATAATATACCTGACGGAGGTGGTTGAAATCGATGTGAAGTAGACCAGTAAAAAAAAAAATCGATACCAAATGGGTGAATTTTGCCATTTAATGCACGTGTTTAATTTTACAGGGCGACTTTCTGATGAGAATAACGGGTTTAAGGCAGTAGCATCTTGCTTGACTTCTTGTCGTTCGTTCCATTTGTATTTTCCAACAAAAGGGGCCGCACGAACATTGGAATTTCGTGTTATCTGGAATACCAGTGTCTCCTTTAAATGTTAAGGATTCAAATACAATTCCAGTGTTTTAGTGAATGTTATTTCAAGCAAATGGGCTAGTGTTGTCATGACATTCTGCAAAACGGAATTTTAGAGCGCGTTCTTTTGTTACTTGACGTACCTTTGAATGAGCCATCATTTCAATTCAAGTACACAGTGCGTCATCGATCATGAGCTGTGTGTTATCTTAATTCAGTTTAGCAGTGGACGCGTATTACTGGAATATTGTGAGAATGAAGACCCTCTCGGGTGCTTATTAGTGAGTTATACAATTCTGTGGGCTGATGTTCTGCCTGACAGAGATATATGAGCATCAAAACTTCCATTCTGGTTTGTTCATTAATAACTCCGTTCGCTTTGGAACGATAAGAAATGATTGCTGTACTTGAGAAGTGCTTGGTAGTCACATTATGTTCCTCTTTGGCAGCAGTACTACTCGTGCTAAACGACCTGTCAAAACGAATAACCAGCCCATCGTGAGCGGTTTTCTCATCAGTCTGACGGCTGGCATTGCTACGTTACCACGTCACGGGGAATGACATCCCTGATGTTGTTGATGCTTAGTTTAGCTCTTACTCTGCCGGAATGAGTGAGGAAAAACAGGCAAACTGATACAGACTTTTCAGCCATCTTTCTGAAGGGTTTTCGTAAAACAACCTAAGTCCCATTTGAAGTTTCTTAGTAGCTAAGACAAAACCTTTTTACAACGTGATATCTTTGTAAATAGTTGGAACGCACTCTACGGGCGTCACAAAAAAAATGTTGAATCCACAAGACACTGTCTAAAGGAGGCAAATCTTCCATACTCGTAAAACAACCTAACCTAACTGTCTGAAGGAGGCAAATCTTCCATGCTAGTAAAACAACCTAACATTAGAATCATCCTTGACTAGTTTACTATAGTAATCTGGAAGCTGTTACTTTGCTCTTTTGTAATATTATTGAGTCAGTAGAGTGAATGAACTATGCCCATAGTTTCAATTAGAAGAGAAAGGAATTATGGCTAGAAAAGAGGAAATGCTTTCATTCTGTTGGCACACGCTGTAAGTAAGAAAAATTGACAGAAGATCGTCTACCTGCGAACAGCTCTCATCAAGGACTTTTGCAGCAGAGTCTTCTCAAAGTGAATAGAGGGGGGTACGCCCGTCAGGTGTTGGAATGAATACAAACACGTAACCATATTAGCCACAATAAATTGATGCAGATACCAAGATACGTTCATTATGGTCTATGGGCATGAAGCGGCACCGGATGAGATGGGTTTGATGATTGTGCATATGAGAGACGTCTGGTTGATTTGTGAGGTCGGTTAATCTAGGCCATCTCAACGAGTTACATCATGTACCTCTGGCAATGACCCAATCTTCTATCATACTTGAAAGAAACCGCGTCATCCGTGCAGAGCGTTCAAGTTTAGGCAAAGTTCTTGCTCACTTTGCAGCTTGGCGAGTTGCAATTGAGGCATTTTAAGGGCGCCGACAGTTCTGTTCGCATGTAAAACTAGAGGTGGGTAAATAAATTACCGCTTTAGCAAAAGTAAAGGAGTTGCTTCTGTGCATTTTTCAACTTAAATGTCTTCGGAACTGAATCTCATTCTATCCCCTTACTTACAGTAGCATCGAAAATGATTGGAACTGTCCATACCCCTCAGTGGATGGAGGAGTGGTGTGTTGTTTTTGTGTTTTGTTCATGTTGTTTGAATTGGTGCAAAAAATCGTACATACCGGCACTGTTTTCAAGGGCGGATCTAGGATTTTCCGAAAGAGGGGCGCAAAGTTGGATTCAGATGCGAGCGTACAGTGGGAAGCCCGTAGTTACCGTGAAAATGCAATAGGCCTTTCTTAATATTCATGCAAATTTTGTTCGCGGCAACTTAAAACGAGGCTGTAGGGGACTCGCGCGTCACGGTTGCTGTAAACGGAAGGGATCTTTCCATGGTTCCCGAGATAACCTTCGGGTTTTTGGAGGATTTCGTCAAAAAGGGATCCAAAAGCATTGGAGAGCAACAGCTTGGTAAAGGATCCAAGTATTTTCAGAAGCCTAAATTCATAATCTTAAGGATAAGCAGTTTATTAACGGTATTGTATCTGGAACTTTTTGCTAACGTTGCATGCATGCACCATTTATGTCTTGGCCTGAACGGCCGGTTGTCGCCACAAGCGAGCAGTTTGAAGACTTTTTTCTCAGTGGGTTACATTTAATGACTGGGCTATTTCCTTTCCTAGTTCAGAATTCTATAGATGCTAATTCGAAAATTACCGACGTTATTTCATTATGCTAGGCGCGATCAATCACGGAAGAAGGAAGAGACTGGATCCATTGGACTGCACCAAGGTGCAATAATGTGTATGATGTAGGGCCAGTGAATACGATTTTTATACAAATATCTTAAGTGGCCAATGATGTCGTTTCAAAGTCAAAATCTCCCTTGAAAAGTGGCCCCTCGTCTCGTTTGATCTGAACAATCCACTTTTTCTGCAGGATCTTGTTCTTTGAAAATCGATGAAAGCTAGTTTCTGGCGACGATCTTCGTTGTGATTGCTACAACACGACACAGAACAATTCTTCGCCGTGTTCGCCGACAGCGCGGACACGCTTTGTTTTCGGTTCCGGTGCACAAACTTTGCATATTAATAAATAAAGGTCTATGGAGCCAATGTAAAATTCATCGCTGTGCAGGTGGTTGCGGGGTGTGTGCCCGGTGCGCAGCCCTCTAAATCCGCAATGGCTTTTAAGAAATCAGTGTGCTAGTGTTAAAAGGTGGGGTTAACCTATTCAAAAACGATAATAACATTATTCATGCTGGTTGATTGTGAGAATTATCTTAACAAAAAGTTTAAATCGTTATTTTTTCGGTATACACGGCTTTTTGTTTCCTGTCATCTAATATCCAACACTATAAGTTTGGAATTTGGCGCTGAAATGTTCAGCATCAAATAGCTTGGAAACGCTTTGTGCTCTCAGCTGTTTTCTGGTTCAGCCAACGCATACAATTTCCTTCTTAATGGTGGTCCATCATTCAAGACCCCTTCCAAGCATCTCTAGCAGGACAAATCAAGTCTCAGTGGAACATCTTGTCGGATCCTTTTTCCTAGGTCCATTTGACTAGTTTTTGTGTAAAATCCAGAAACCCTTTCATCCAGCTTATCTTAGTCATTACTCTCACCGTTCTGCGAACGCTCAAACCAAATAAGCTGGACAACACCCATGATTTCATTTGACTTCTTTTCAAATGCACCACATCCAGGCACCAAATCTTGTTATTTTTTCGCCTGTCGTCCATTTCTCTTCCTGAAACCTTTTTACATTTACTTTTATTGTCACTGTGTTCAGGTCTTATGAAGCTGCTGGTTTCTCTGCTTGCACATCAGGCTTCAGGAGCACGCCTCTTGAAGCAGAAAAGGCTGCGATGGCTCTAGTTTTTGATAAACTTTAGCCTCCATTATTTTTTGATATTTTTGTCTCTGGTGTGTTATACATATTACTAATCTGACGCTCCTTAAAAGTGTCATATCGATAAATATTCAACTTAAATGAACGAAAAGGGAAAACATGTTGTTTATCACTTCACAAAAAGTGGATCGTTTCTGTCATTTTGTGGAGCATTTCACAAACTTGATTGAAAATGCCTTACATTTTCAATAATCGCCACCTGAAAGTATGCATCGCAGAAAAGAAATGTACCCCGCAACCAGCATTGCCTGAACCACATCCATCGTCACCCCTGCCGGAAGCAAAAGTCTAAAGAGAAATCTTATTTGCCATCCGGCATCTAGGTAGTACTGTAGCAAATGTAATTAATCTTAGCTGAGGTTTCAATTAAAAGAGTTGGCGGGGGTCGATGCATCCACCACAGGCTTGAGTTGCTAATTTGCCCGGCGTTGATACACCGAATGATCGTGCCAGCTGCGCAGTATGTACGGGGCCGCTGACAGGCCGCTGACGGCGGGATCCGTGTTTAATGACGACGCCTTTTTACAAGACTGCGAAGTTACATCACCTGTTTATTCACATCATTGGCCACAAAAAACCCCAAACAATAACAAAAAACAAATAAAGAAACCTTTTTCCTAAACAAAGTAATACGGTAATAACCAAACAGTCGTCCTTAAGTTCGATCCCGCATCTTGTCGAAGGGTGAGGGGCAATGTTTTCCTTTGTTACCCGCCCATATATAAATACTGGAGAACAGATTACAATTGATAAAAATCTGAACTGTTCTAAATGGACCTTATTAACTCTTAACTCCTTGAATGAAATAGCATGTAGCTGTGGGAGTTAAGTTTCTTCCTCGCATCTTACTGAGCTGTATACACCTCAATCCTTCCTAACTTCGGCAATAGTCATCTTAGCCATTTTTAGATGCCATGGAATAATGAAGGACTAACCAAGACTTCGTAGAAAAGGTCGACAGGCAGAAAAGGTCGACTCTTTATTTATGTTAATGGTCGGTTAAGGAAAACTGTGAATGCGAAGGAATTTAAGCTGAAGTTTGTAACTAAGTGGGATGGGGAGAATTTATGTGTTAGTAGCTGGGGCAGGTATAGAGTACCGAAGTGAATACCAGCGCGTGAACCAACACGCGCGCGTACTCCATTCGTTTACCCTGCTTTTTCTAGTTCACAGTGACGTCACACTTCGGTACTCTATAGTCAATGGGGGCGCTGGGATGATTGAGATGAGTTTGTAGAAGGCATGTGATATAATTATACCGTCGCTGCGCGCTTTTCATTTGCCCAGCAAGGAGTCCCACATCTGTCTCTTAATTTAATCTTGCCGTATCTTATCTTCAGCGTTGTCTTGCGATATTCAGGAATGCGTACACGCGTGGCCTTATGACGCACAACTGCAATTAATTACATTCGACTTGGGTTACACTGTCAGACGGATACGCTTGGTTAAGCTAAAGATCTGTCTAAGATCGAAGACGAAACTTCACTCGTTGAAAAAAGATTCCAAGATCTGATGCACATGCACGATCCCAAATGATGCTTTATAATTTTTGCCACAAGTATGGGTAACTAAGTATACCTTTAACAAAATTAAAATGTACAACTTACCTGTGGTTATTTATTTATTTATTTATTTTTTATTTATTTATTTATTTTTTTTGAAGGTTGCGAACAAACTTAATTCGTCAGTCCTAAAACGCTAAATTGCATTCCCTCAACTTGATATACCACGCAGATTTGTCTCACAAAATACCTGCACAGTGTTCTGAAATGGTGGGCGCGGTCGAGTACGAGTCGAGGGACGCCGGTGGAAGGAGAGCGCATGTGCGCTGACTTAACCACAAGCGAGAAATCTTGATGGCATTAAAGCGCATGCGCGCTGACTTAATAAAGAAAATCACAAACTAATTAATGCGCATGCGCGTGCTTATCGCGCATGCGCGTCGTTTTTTTTTTTTATTGCGCAATCTGACCAGAATCTTTATATATTAGTTCCGAACACTCATAAGTAAGAAGAGCGTGTTGGCCTAGTGGTAGGCACTGTAGCGCTTGGCACTGGAACAGTAAAACTGGAGGTTCGGGTTCGAATCCCACGTCGGATAGAAAGGGATTTTTACTTCTTTTTACTTCAATAATATCACTGTAAAAAAGCGTAAAAGTTCTATTTTATTTTATTTATCTTGTTCCCTAGACAAGCGCCACGGAACTCCGACCTAGCGCAGGTTTCCCTGCCTCGATCGTCTGTCCCGAGTGGGAATCGAACTGGGGGCCTTCTGACCAGGAGGCAGTATCTCTACCGCCTCCGCTCTTTGGGTCCCCGAAAAACTAATGCTCGTCCCATATATTTATCTATGAGATTCAACACAGCTGAAAGAAAAAAAAAAATTATCTGGGAAGTGATTCGAATTCGGGTTTCGCGACTAGACCTCCCAAGTCTCACCCCCAGGCCACTGTTGCATCGTAATTCGGCCTCGAACACGCGATCTCTAGACTTTCTGAGCACAGATAGAGATGTACATGCTAACACGTCCGATTTCGCCCTCAGAACTTACGGACGGGGATTTCGTGTTAATTGTGGGGAACCCGGTGCAAGGAAATAAATAGCGCCACAAGCTAGAAAGCGGAGAAGACGAGAGCTTGGAAAAGGTTGTCTGGTCTACTTTTTATTCTGTGGTTACCATACTCTTTTCTGGAAACGGATGTATGTGTACACGGTGCTGCTTTATACACAACTGTTTTTTGGTTAAGTACAAATCTGCGATGGCCCTGATTTTTAGCATTTTAAATGTTTAAAATGTTTACACTGCTAGGGGTAACTTTGCCTTAGGTTTTTAAACCAAATTTGCAACAACAAATTTACAATATATGACTGATGTTCTTGAAACTCACAATCATTTCACATAAAATACAAGGTTGTAAAGACAAACCCCTTCTTTGCCCTAGCCATTATTAATTTTCCAAGGCTAATATCTACCAGGAATTCTTCTTCAGTTCCTTGAATTTTACATATTTGTTTGTGGTAGTAAGGCACCTTAGATCATTATTACATTTGCTTTCTCTCTCTACAAAGAAACCTCATATTCAAGATAAAGTCAAGATAATGTGTGCTTGTTCACGAAACATTGAAGTACACATAATGCAAATAGATTATGTGTGCAACCAGACAGGATATAACCTTCACATTCCGAAGCAAAATTACAAGCTAAGAACACCATTCTAGCTATAGTTTGTGATACTCAATTTAGTTCACATTAACCTCATATCACTCCACAAAATGGATGAAATCAGCAACAGAATAAAATTTCATGCTTTTTCAAGAAGCAGTTCCTTTGGGTAGCAAAGTAAAAAGCGGTTCAGGGTGATGTGTCTTTAGTGTAACACAATTTGAGCAACCATCTTTGTACATACGGTTGCACCTGGTATGGAACTTCAGCGATGATTAGGCACGAGCATGATGGGATATCTGCCTTCATTATTTTAAGTAGTATTGTTTTACTGGCATAGACAATTTATGCATGGAAAGTCATCCAAACATATCAAACACTGCATAGTGCTGAACACACTTTGCTTTGGTCAAAGCAATCACTAGTTGAAATCAGTTTCTCAAGTGTTCATTCCATGCATACATTCACTATCACACAACTTTAAGTATTTATACATGGAGCACAATTCTTTTTCTCAAGATGTATTTTTGCGTTAAGGAGATGTCAATTTATATAACGGGTTTGGGTAAGCTTGTGAGATTTTTTCGCAAGCTCTCGGACAAGCAGTGAGCATGCAGTGCTTATTAATATACGTTGGGTAAGGGCAAAACCCGTTATATAAAGCACAGTTCTTAATATTTACACTTGAACTATTAATTTTTACATGCACACTTTTATTTGTAAAACTGTGATACAGAAAATAATTACCAATTCCATAATTTCAAAGCATTTTTGCACTCTATACATTGCGTAATTTGAAGTTGCACACCTCACACATGATTGAAAATCAAAGTATGCAAGCTTTATGAAGAATTTCAAGAAATCAAGTAAGGTCACACACACCCTTAGATTAAACCAGATTTTTAGATTTTTTAAGTGTTTCTGTTCATTTCAATTGGATCAATGCACTGCTGTATCACACACTACCTTGAAACCACTTGCTAATGAAATTTGTGACCAAAAAAAAGAGGTAAAATCTTCCATGGGGGATTATTCATCTTTTTGACTGAGGAAAATGTGATTTATCGGCCATATATGATTTTGATTTTGGGAGGGTAAATCTTGGATAGAAATAGTTAAAATGGCGCTTAAATGTCTTGTTGACATAAATGTCCAGAATGATGCACTCAAACCCTGCAAGTATTGCTATTTGATATAGCGTGTAGATTGAAGATTCTCAAAATATCACTTTCATTTGACAGAAAGAACTACCACTCATCAGCTGCCAAAGAAATTGATTTGCTTTTACTAGAAATGCTAGATGTCACTGAACCAGACCTTTTGAACTTTGACCCCAGGCTTGACCTTGAACTAATGCTGGAGGCTGAACTAGGTCGTGACCTAGGCGGAGTCGGTAGCAGAGGTGTAGGTAAGATGGCAGGTACCTCAGCAGTTTTTCGCATGTGGAAGAGTTGGCTGCTTTCATAATATCCCTCTGAAAGCCAGAAACATTGGATCGGGTCCACATTATTCGAGCTGCACAAAAGACAGGAGATATGAAATACTTAAATGTAAAAACTAAAAATATGCAGCATCAATGCTGGGTCCACATGTAAAGAGAATACCATTAGTTAACCATTTTACGCAATGAAGCTATGACATCTTGGTGACCGTGACACTGTATTGATAACTGCTACTTTTATTATTATTATTGAATGGTTTATTATATCAGTCTTCTCGCCACAAACGCGGAATTGTGTAAGACTGTGTCAATAAATAAAAATACATTACATGTAATTAAAAAGGATATACAAAATCATCTTGACAAATACTATTATAAAATAAGATACAAAATTATACTTAAACTCAAAATATAATTAAGTGAGATTAATACACATTTAATAAAAATAAATCATCATGATGATTACGTATGTTTAACACACAAAAAGGTTAAACATGTGAGGGAAATAATACATGTGAGGGAAATAATACATGTGAGGGAATTAAAACTGGGTGGGATTGAAAAGGTAAATATTGGGGTAGTGTGGGACGAGGTGTCAAAAATATGGGGAGGGGGGATGGAGTCGAGGTAAGTAGGGTTGGGGTGGGATTGGGTGGGGTGGGTGGGGAATACAGTGTTGGTTGGGATGGGAATTGAATCAACAGAAAAATATATTTATTTATATGAGACAATTCATATAACCACAGTTTAAAATACACACATATTCGACAATGCAAAAAACCTCTACACAATCACATGGATCAGTTCATAGATTTAATTAAGATAAATATTGGATTGCACTGTTCTTAAATCTGTTTGTTTTGCATCTTGGTTCGGATACTAATTTAGACTGATGTAATATTCTACTATTCAGGATGCTGAATGGGATGCGACGTGCTCATTTCTCATTAAGTGCTTAGCAAATCTAAGGCAAAGTGATCTACCACGGTCAGTCAAAGATTCTAATTTGACTGAGTATAAACCATCATCGTAATCATTATAATCGGTCCCTAACATTAATTTAAGGACACGTTTTTGAATTTTTTCCAACTGATTTTGTTGCCGATTTGTGATTGCACCATTCCACACCGAGACTGCAGTCTCAAGTAGGGGGTGCAGGTACCCTTTATAGACAGTGATTGAATCTTGAATTGGGAATCTGTGGCCTTTAAAGCACAAACCATAAGAAATATGCTTTTGGCCCGTTGAAGTAGTGTATTAATTTGAGTGTCCCATTCATGCTGGATGTGAACCCCTAACAATTTAACCGTCTGTGATTGTTCAAAGACTTGATCATTGATGCATATTACAGGTGATGCTGGAGGCTCCTTCATAAAATTAATTTCCATAGTGGTGCATTTTGTGGGATTCAGAGACACATTACTATTTCGTGACCACTGAACCAAATCATTTACAGCCTCTTGAAGAGTAGGTTGTTCATGGATGTGTTGGGTTTCAATCAAGCTTAAACCGTCCACATATTTCCAATGGTATATGCAGTCATTGGAATCCTGGCAGGCAATGTTAAAAAGAGCAGAGAACACAATGGGGACCAATTTTGTCCCTTGAGGAACTCCGGCGTGCATAGTAACCCAGTCAGATGTAAGACCCCTATAGTGCACACACTGTTTGCGGTTCATGAGGGAGTTTGAAATTCATTGATGGGTTCACATTCAGATCGATCAGTTTCTTTATGGCAATGTTGTGATCGATTCTGTCGAATGCCGTACTATAATCCGCCAAAACCAGAGTGGATGTTGCTTTCCTGGTTTCGGCATGTTTGTACAAAGTATGCAATAAATCTATCAAACAATGTGTAGTAGATAAACCTTTTCTATTTCCAAATTGTTGATCATCCATATCAGTTTTCAAGTCTTTCACAGTCCATTTAGCAACAAAACCCTCCAGAATTTTAGCAAAATGGTCTGCGCATCCTATTTGTCTTAACTTGTCAACCACTGCTGGAGAGCTTTTGGGGATGGGGACGATAATAGCTTGTTTCCAAACACCAGGAACAATACCAAGTTGAAGTGAAGTATTAAAAATATGAGATAGGGGGTGGTCAACTCACAAGCAAATTCTCAAATGATACGGACTGGAATATTATCTGGACCACCAGACTTGCTGCACTTTATGTGTGAGTTCACGATACACATCCCAATGTTGGACATATGGGAGGGGAGATTAGGACGGACAATAAGCTGGTAACTGGGCTGTATCAAGGATTGGAAGATCTTCAGCTACAGAAGCAAAATGATTATTGATGCTATTTGCTATTGCATTTGCATTGATTGGTTTGTCCTCCCAATAACCATAAGTAAGAAGTTTTATCTGAAGATACCATGCAGCAGGGTCCGATGCTTTCAAGCTTTTAACTCTTATTGTAATAGTTATGTTTGGCGCTATATATGGTCATCTTAACCTTGCATTGTAAATGTTTCCAAGTGCGATGATGAAATGCCACTTGTCTCTGTTGAATGACTTTCTTGACCTCTGGAGTCATCCATGGTTTGTCATGAACATGAAGTTTAGTAATACGTTGTGGAAAATGGTGATTATTTGCCGAGTTTAATACTCTGTAGAAAGCATTACACTGATCATTAGGATCATCAGCCAGCATCACAGGAGCCCAGTCATACTGACAAATCCATGTTCCAAAACATATGTCAGAATCACGCAATGGTCTGGTTGTGCGTGATTTAGTTGTGTTTTTGGAACAATGATAAGTCTTTAGCGGAGACCAGACTATGGAATTGTGATCACTGCTGGCTATGGGTGATTTGATTAATGGTTCAGCATAAAAGTCAAACAAATTTGTGACAATTTTGTCAAGATTCGTATTGTCTCTTGTTGGTTAATTAATGATTTGCCTGAAGTGGTTGCCACTGAGGAGCTGGCTCAAATTTAGTTGATTAAAGTCTCTGACAATGACAAAACCAGCATCTGGATGATTACTCATAAATTTGTCCATAGTCTCATTGATGTGATCAAGGAGACAATCTGCTACTGAACTCTGAGGGGGGGTAGTACACAACAGCAATGATGATATGTGACACTGATCTAGGAAACCGTGATGGTGGGACTTTAATCCAAACAATTTCAAGGTCCCCTGGGATTTCGACATGAAGTTGTTGCAGATTTAGATGATGTTTATGTCCCCTTTTAAAATAGGTAAAACTCTCCTAAACTTGTGCAGGTCTTCCCGAGTTTTTGCACTCTAGTCAGAATCACAAAATTTTGAGATTAACACCTGTGATTACTTGGGGGATTTGAGCTTTGAGTAATCTGATCACTAATGCAATAATCTCAACCACTCAGCCCACTGCCAATGTTAACAGGATAATGATGCAGTGTGATTTTCAAATACCTTACAATGATTTTGATTTTGTTTTACCTTGATCCGTCACAGAACTCCACCACTAACTTGTTGCCTTCAACCGCAGTGATTTTACTAGGTAGGTAATATGTCATGTTAACAGCGCTGGCCATGGCGAGGACATAATCACCGAGAGCAAAACGTTGACGACGTGAGAAGGCACCAAAGATGTGCTTGCAGTGTTGCTTGCTTGTCATATCATCTGGCCACTCCACAACAAAATACTGCCCTCGGTTGATGCGTTCCTTAACGGTGGCTATGGGAGAAATTTAAACAAAAATCCCAAATCTTCCCTTTATTTTTCAATGTCAAAGAAGCATGTGAATAAACACATAGCCTTGGATTAGTATTTGGCTGAGAATGGCTGCTTAATGATTTGAAATGCTTTCAAAAGACTCGATTAGACAGAAACATACTTGGTTATATCTTCATTTTGATTTATAAAATGTTTTGAAATATATAATGAGAAAACTGCCGCAAACTACTGACTGCATGAACCTGAAATGTACTCAAAAAGTTGTAGGGCATGTCGTTGCAGTCCAGCAGAATTGTTCTTCAATGGAGCCAGTAATGATTGCCTCACTCACCTAAATAGTAGACACCATCCTCATTTCTCCTAGCAACAGCAGGGTGCCCCACCCAGCGATCTTCCCCAACCAAGATGGCTTCCTTGACCTCCTCATGGCAGTCTGGGGTCACATAGTACATCTCCTCCCTGGGTACGTCTGCAGTCTCTTCATCGTAGAATTCCACCTGATACCACAGATCCTGCAGGACCTTGGTAATGATGGCTGGACCGTAGCGGAAGGGGTGGCCTGGATGCAAGGCAATGACGTTATCTCCTTGCTAGTAGGTGGGGAAAAAATAAATCAAATAACATTGACAGCGTTGTTGGAGGACAGTGCACTCAAGACTTAAAGATTTCATATCATTTGAAATGTAGTTTATTACCAAACATCTGTCACATTTTTATTTGACACTTCTTGCTGACTTGGGAAGTCTCCCCTACTTGTACAATTTAAACCCTTTTGAAAATGGACTTTTCAGGAGTATTTTTTGGGGGGGGGTCTTACAGATCTTGGAGATAAACTTCTTAACAACATGTCTTTATAGAGAATTAAGCTATATCCTTTTATCAGTTTGATTATGCACACATTACCTAGTGATGTACACATCTTTTAAGCTTATTTTCAGTTTTTGCAAAATATAATACTAAAGTAACAAGAAATGAGAAAGCTTGCACTTTTTACAAAGGGAGCAATGTTTGGACATTGCTGTGTGCCTTTACCTTTATCACCCTGTTTCCATCATCCTTGTCTGTCAAGATGTACTTGGTAGACACCTTCTGGATAGTTTCATTGCTGTCTTCAACATAAAACTCTGAGTCTTCACTCTTAGAGTTCACTGTTCCTAATGGTCAAAGGAAATTGAGAAAAAAAATGAAAAGCTTGAAGAATGATGTTTGTGGATTTATTTAGGCATATAAATGACAGTAAATACATGTATAGAAAAATATCTCAGTTTTAATAACTCTGACTGCAACATTCAACAGGAAAATATAAAAGGAGATATTTTTGGCTACAGCAAGGCTTTTGCCTCTCTATCTGCAAATATCTTTTTAAAAATTCAGCTTTGTTTACAATAATGGAAAAATTGTTCCATGACATCCAATGAAAGGAGTAGAAAGGCCATTTGACTGATACCAAAGACAAACAATAACATTACTGTGTATATCATTCCACACTCGTCAGTGTTTCACTTTTTGAAATAAATTGATTAGATGATTACCCAACAACTTTTTACTCATTGGTAAACGTGAAATTCTGTTCATAATGGTATTATTGTGCCTGTATAAAATGGAACCCTTTTTTCTTTTTACTATAAGTTCATCAGAATTTTTGATCACGGAGGAATAGATTTACAGAGCAGTGATTTACACAGTGACCAATGCAAATTTTAAGCGTGAAATCAAACTTTAAATCGTTCACATTTGTCTTAATTATAACAAGATGAATGGTAAAACTGTTTTGCAAATGAAACCATTTAGTGTGTGTGATACATTAAGGCAACACCTGCCTTCATAGCAAGGACTCAGGCAACCAAGCTGTCACAACCAGGTGACAGAATCATCAATATTTAATGGAACCCATTTGCAGGCTTGAATAAGTGAAACATTAGAATGAGAAGTAGAGAGGCATAAGTGAGGCTAAATTGCCAACAATTATCAGGAGAAGGGGAAAACTGGCAAAGTTGCTTCAGTATAAAATTAGGCTGGTGTCACTTTGGTTCAACACCCACACTGTGGTAATTACCGCCCTCAGACATTTTACTCGTGCTCAGATAATTTTGCTCCGACATGGGAATAACCCCTCATATCTGTAAGAACTGATTTTGCCCTTCTCTTTTAGTGTTCTCCATGGATAAAAAAATACCTCTGTGATGGTTTTATAAGAGAGGAGTCACTGAACAATTTACACTGCCAACTGGCTTGGGATAGATGTGTATATGATCTGTATAACATTGCCACTGGAAGTGTCAACATTATCTTTATGAATAAGTCAGTAGCTGAACATGGTGAATGAGAGGTTAATGATATAGAACAAATATGTAACCCGAGGCCGAAGATTTCGTGTGTGAGGACCAGTGAATAAAACAAAGAAAGTTGAGAATTGAGCCAGTCACTGAATGTAATTACTCACTGATAGTATTTGGATGAGCAATCAAGTTAAAAAGGCATGAATCTTTTTTTCTTTTCTTTGAAAAGTGAGTGTTAAAACTGGATTCTTATTATCTCATCATGCATTGATGTGTTTGCTTTATTTTTTTATATTTTTTAAGTTTGTACTAATCTTGAAGCCTGTAATTAATAATGAAGATTGTTTGTTTTGTCCATTTTTTGTTTACAATATTTGCCCAGTACATCAATGAATGGATTAAATATCATGTCAAAACAATCACAAGTTTCTTTTTAGTTTTATTTGGGCAAACACGTCACGATTTACCATTTTCTATGAAAGTGTTTCAGTGGTCACTTATTCTTTCAAAAGGAGAAAATACATCTTAAACTTCTTAGCTGTTTGGGGGATTTGGATTTTCTTTTAGGTTGAAACCTGAGAGACTTACCTCTATAGAACCAGCCATCTTCAGGAGACTGAGCCAAGACTTCATCGCCGATGTCAATCTTTCTCTTGAAGTCAGCTTCATCTACTCCATCATCATCATCATCCCCAGCCCATGCAAGCTCCATGGCACCATCTGCTTCCCCATCCACAGCCTCATCTTTGCCCTTGTCTTCCTCCTCCTCTTTCTCTTCCTCCTCAGTTCTCTCAGCATCTTCATTAATGCCCCCTGCACCCACTGCTATCTCATCCCCATCCAGGCCTGTGGAACAAATATATTTCAGATATATTCCCACTGAATAAATTATGCTGCTTACCAAAGCACATTGGCATAAGGGTCATGAGAGTAACAGAAGCTTCTCCCCGCCCCCCAAAACGGTTAATTAAAACTATAAACAAACAAGCAAACCTGTCAACACAAAATTAAATTTGTGACAAAAGACTGCCTCCAGAGCAAAGACAATGACAAATTAGGGGACTGGCGTTTAGAGCCTGAGAGTTCAGTTGGTAGAGAACTTCCACAGTATTCAACAGACTGTGGGTTCAAATCCCACTCAAATGTTTCACTTAACGGTGCTTTTTTAGACTGTTAGAAAGAAATGAAAATGACCTTTTCTTTGTCATGGACATGAGTAGTTAGACTATCAAAACTGTGTCTCTTTAATGAAAGCATTCTACTTTCAGATTTATATTACGACTGGTTATTTTGTAACTGAATGACTTCCTTCTTGGTGGTTAGGCCTTGTCCCTCTCATGACTATTAAATTAGACAGGCCACTGATGATGAATTCATTACCTGCTTTGTTTCAAACATAATCAAAAGAGCATTTCAAATCAGTTTGTCTGAAACAGAACATTTTTTGCTCAGTTGAGAACATTTCTATGCAACATCCAGATGTTGTGGGACATGTGCAGATAGAAGAACCATGCTGAAAAAATATTTCTATAAAATTAGCACTGAGGAAATTTGCTTCAGAGTTTTAAAAACCAGTTCAATGAGGAGAGCATTAAATTGAGGAAGTAGATTCCCCTGCAGGGATTACAAATGACCCATCATTATGGACAAATTTGTAAATTCTCACTTTGCCTGCCAGAGTGTTTTAATAGGATGACTGTTTAAGTCATTTAACGGGTAAGGGCTTACACGAATATTAAGACTGATGTAGAAAACATGCGTGTCTGTGCTAAGTCATGATAAAAAACACAGCCTATTAGGAAATGAAGAAGACAAATTTGCTATGGTACAAAGAATGACTGCGGTATAGTTTGGTGATCAATCTTCTGTGAATCCAAAGCACTATGGCTTAAAGGAACACAGGAGCATAAACAGGACGTATCTTTCTTTTTTCCCAATATCAGACCACACTGTTTGATCTTTCCGCTGACTGCCATTCATTCATCACAGACTTATTACTGCCTATCCATCATGTCGTTGCCATTCATCCATTCATGCTACATTCATAATTTCTGGAATGCACTGTGGGTCAAAGAACTGTCTTGCCGACAATCCAGAAATAAAAAAAGAAAAAGTCTGCCCCATGCAAAAGAAAAAATTCATTTACTTTGGATACGTAGAAATGTGTCTGCAAAAAGTTAAAGGAATTTTAATTTCCTTTTTTTTTTTTCTTAATGAATTTTTTCAGTCAACTTCCACTCATCAATAATTCTTTATCAGGCCATTTGTCATCCTTTGTCAAGATAATTTTGTTTTCATACTTCTTCGATTGCCATCTTCTCTTCCTCACTTCATGAGTTTCAATCTTTTTCACATACTCTTCATAATTTTGAAGGTTTTCCTTTTTTTCCTTACCTTCTGTCTGGGACCTAGTCCTTTCCATTTCTTCATCCAGCCTTAACTTTTCCTGGAGTTGTTTCTCCAAATCATCCTGTTTTCCCTTCAAAGAACTGTACTCGTTTTCCAGTAATCCATGCTTACTTGACATATCATGCAACCTGCAGGGTGAATACAAAATAAGAATTATAGCCAATCTTTGCTGATTTTATCGCCCTGTCAAGTTGTACAATTTTATATAACTTGATGTTTGATTGTGCCCAAATTTTGCAAATTTAATGATAAATTTTAGAACATTTGTACCATATCAAACGCAATCTGCAGATAGATAAGTATTGATCAACCAACATGGTATCCCTTGTGTTCACCCACCGCTGCCGGTCTACCGTTTAGTTAATACCCAGGTTTGTATGGGGTGGCACATGACGGGTGAGCAGTGTTCTGGTCACATCTCCAACAAATATGGCTTTGAATTCTGATCAAACGGTGAAGAGCCTTAGTCAGTGTTCAATACCATGTTGTAGTCTCATATGGAATCACCGCACGGCGTGTTGCCAACATAGCATGCAAAGCGTGCAACACAACGTGGAAAATATTTCTTACAGGAGTTTCTCTGGAGATAAGCCCCACATATATATTTGTAAAGGATATTAGTAATGTCAGACATGATAAAGCCCAAAGTGCTACTTTTTTTTTAAAGTGATATTAAGTCATTTTATGCAACATCGTCCTTTTAGTGTCCAAAGAAGCCAGTACCCATCCTTCATATATCATAAAGCAATTTTTATAGATACTATTTAACCCTACAAATTTCAAATATAAAGTGGACTTTCGATTAAATAATGACTTGCTGAGACACAATAAGCTCTTGGCATGAACCAAATTTAAGGTCTTTGAATCTTCCTTTAAAAAACGTAGCAAGCTAATGAGTTTCAATGCTGGCTTCACCTTTATGAGTAATTTCTTGGGAAAACTCCCGATGCAAGAATGTCATGATATTTTTTACAGGAACAGAGGAAATCAATGAATTTCACTGCTTGAAAAAGGCTACTGCTGCACTAGATGACTGAATAATAACAAAATTACATAAGATGTCTCATTTCCATCACAAAAGCTGTGCTGGTGTTCCGTGTTCAGCCTTGAACAATAAGCAAAACTAAGTGGAGGGAGGAAATACATGTGGTATAAACCAGTTCTTGATGGCTATTGCTGTAGGCAATTAAAAACAGAGTGTTTCTTTATCAGTAACATAGACGAAGACCTTTGAAATACCAAATGTGGTCTGCATATGAAACTTCAGGGCAAAAATAACATAAAGTAAATAATACAACTAATGTAATTGTAAAAGTTTTGGTCTCTGACATTTCCTTAATGTATGTAAAAGTTACAATGGGACTTGATTGAGATTTATCTTCAACTGGAAAGCAGAACATGGGATAAAGGGAAGTGTGCACCATGGTAACAAGGGTACCTTATAAAATTGCTGATATTAAATCAACTCAAATGCATGTTGAATTTTCAAGTGAAACTTTTTCCAATTACCTGCCAGTACTATTTAGCAGAATGTTTCATCTTTAACATGCCCTTTCTCCCCAACACCTTTTCCTTATTCCAACCAACACCTCAACCACTTGACAGATTATTCATGAAACCAGTGATGTCCTACTTTAGGCTGCCAGGTCCTCTGAGACTAACTAGGCCCCTCTCCTGTCCTCCTGACTGATTTGCAGTGCCCTGGCAACGATGTGTGATGATTAACACATATCATGCTCTGGAGCTCATTACTTGGACTTAATTGACCTACATAGTCTGTGGAAGCACCGATAGATTGTTGTGTATTATCTGTTTGTTTCATTATTATTTGATTTGATGAAAGGTGGGGATACAAAGTGAGGGCAGATGTCGTCCTTTGCCTTGGAAGTGTTTTACTATTATCAAGAATAAAGACAGTCTTGGTAAGATGTTATTCTTTTTAAATCTACATCTTGACCTATTACAATGGTTGAGTTGTGGTTAGGCTTACTTCTTTTTGACACGTCTTTAGAGAAACGAGTTATGACAGATACGGAACAGATTGAACTGTATTAATTTTTTTGCTACATGACTACTTTTATTTGGCAGAACTAATATGAAATAAATTTGAATTAAGCAAACATATCAGTTCTCAGTCGCAGGTGTCATTATCAATCAAGGTATGAGTTCACTGTGCACTGAGTTTAAACTATATCTTTTCTGCTGAAAAAAAGTTCTCTTTGAAAGATGATGCATTTACACAACTGAGGAACATAAATTCAAACCACATAACTCCTGACCTGTCATCTAATTCCCTGCGTGTTGTCTCCAGCGTGTCATGCTCTTCTTTGAGTAGACTGTGTTTGCCCTTCAGCTTGGAGTGTCGTTTCTGCAGTTTCTGGTGTTGTCTGGTGGTGGTGTCATAATCGCGTTGCAGTTGCGAGTGTTTATGCAGCAAGTCATCATGTTTCTGTAGCAGTTGGTTCTGGTGGTCATCCATCAGTTTTTGCTGTTTGAAACTCTCCTTCAATTCCTCCTGCAATACCTGCCAATTAACACCACTGATATTCACTCTCTAGTTGGGTTTATTTCTTTTTCATTGGGTGGCTAGATAGAGGAAAGTGGGATAAAATTGCTAGAGTCGGCACTCTTTAATTGTAACATATCAATCTGAGAGAGTTGGGAGGTTTAATTTGACTTTAATTAATATCAGGTTTTTCCTTCAATTTTTAAAACTTTTACTTTGTTTTTCCCATTCAGACAGATGTGAAGATCGTAAGAAACAGGTTTGACTACCCTCCCAATAAAAAACAAAGGAAACCCCTGTTTTTTTTTTCTCTTCTGTAAAGGGTAATATTCAACTGAAAATCTCCAAGCATGGGTCTGAGCATGTGATCTTGAGAAGGTTGAAAATGAAGACTGTGGCTTTTACAGCCTTCATTGGTGTCTCCTTCACACACCCTCCTTAAAAAACAACACTTACATACAAGATTTTGTTATCAACTTATGATTAACATGGGAGAACCCAATTTGTAAAAAGTTGTCAGGGGATATTTTACTATTTTACCTAGTGAACAAACCCTTTTAAACGTATTGTATGGCAAAAAATCTTTCCCTTCCCAAAATACTAAACTGTGCTTGAAAAATGTAGACAAAAATATAGATTGTAAGAATTTTTACCATACTCAAGGATATTTTTCACATATTTTTGCCAAGTAAAATACACAGCCCCAGATCTACTTCTGAGGAAAAATACATCTGCATTGTTGAAGTAACGTTGACATAACTTGCTATAATTGGATCAATGGTGAGAGCTTCTTCCCTTTTCACATATTTTTCATCCTACTCTGAATGGCTCCTCACTTTTGTCATCTTCAAAAGCCTGTAACATGTTACTAAGAAAACACTGGGCAATTGAAGAGCCCATCAGATGCTGAAGGTAATCTATACTAGTTGTTGTCTCGAGGGAGGAGGGAAGCGAGAAGACTGATTCCCTCCTCTAATATTAACACTTGCTTCAATTCTGTTTGACTGTGCTCGGTCGGCACACTGTGGGAACACATCTAATCCGTTATTTGTTTGTGATTCACAGATCTGTGTCGGCCAGAAATCCATCAGTGAAAGCTATTCCTGTAATATTCAACCATGGATTCAGGTGTCCACCTTAATTTTTTTTTTTTTCCCGTTTTGCCTCTAGGTGCCAATGGGGAAGCTCATAATGAGAACTGTGCCACAAACGATGAAAGAGAGTAGTATTGTGTAGCAACAAAAAAATTCTCCCATATCCCTGTACTTGACAGAGTGCTGAGAGACAAACACTCATACCAGGGGAACCAATTTAAGACATGTGGGCAAAAACTTGAAGCACTTACAATTTTTATGATTGGATAGCCCACTTGCAGGCATAAAAATCAAAGAAAAATGTCGGGAATGCCTGGGAACGGTAATATCAGCAAGTGGACTTCCTTGATGAAATAAATGTTGTAATTTAGCTTGAGCACAGCTGTTAGCATTTGATAAGGTTATGCTGGTATGTATCATGATTCCCCAAGACTGTCTTTTGGCACTAAGATATTAGACCTCTTTTGGTAACGACACAAGCATTCCCAAGGGATCCTGATGACTGTATTACTTGATCCTGGTCAATGACTGGGAATTCTCAGGAATTACTTTGCTGTATACACTTGAAAGTTGAGGAAAATGAAAATCAAACTAAGATTGTGCCAAGTACACTTCTCCTTGGAAAAATTTCTGAACACACTTGCCAGTTGTTTTCATTTGGAATTTTCATGCCTAAATCAAATGAGTACATTCACTCATAAAAAATCTGTGCCACCAACCTCTGAAGATAGACATGTTAATTTCAAAAGGTTCATCACTTCTTTGTAATTCTAAAAGAACTTATACCAAGTCAGCAGAGATATTGTATATAATACTTCAGCTTTGTATTTGAATGCAATCTGAATCATACTAAAGTTTTTACAAAAAAAACACTGTACAGAGCCAGAAATGTTTGATTAATCAACCTTGACAAATGAGAATTCCTGTTGGACTAATGTCAGTGTAGCAGCTGCACATTTTAGATATTATGAATGCATTAATCATCCAGTTCATTCCAACATGTCCAAGGCCATGTGAGCATAACTAAGTGACATTCAGCCCCTCATTTGAAATTACCGGTATACTTTCTAGTTCCTTCTTAATGGCTCCAAAGGCCATTCATGAAGTACACTGCAAGAATGAGTCCTCATGACCAGGACACCTTATTTTGTGCGTAGCCCATTCTTCCATGTGTAATTCTGCAACCACAAATGAGGACTTCTTGTTAACATGCTAGCGCAAAATTTGCAGCATCACAGTGGGATCCATCATTGAAAGTTTTTGAGTCCCTGGACAGGCCATTTTACAACTGCACTCTTGATTTCCTCCATTTATTGTTGTTATTAATCATACATTTTCTCTTTTTGCATGATTTCCATACATGAATTCAAAAATGAATTAGAGGGTGTCATTTATGAAACCACTGATTTCCAAAAACACAAAAACGTTTAAACAAGACCTCTGCATGTAACACAGCAAGGCATGCATTACTGTGCAAAGGTGTAAGAAAATATTTAAAATCCTTGCTTGATTATTGGGGTTATTGAAGATTGCCTTGATGTTGATCTGACAACTAATCATGACCATTCCTATATTTTTGAGCAAGGGGTCATAACACAATCTTTCCTTTACTCAATATGTTTGTGGGGGCTGATTTATGATGTAGTCTTACCTGCTGTGTTTGTATGTGTTCCTCATGCTGCTCTCTCATTTGTTGCTGTAATTCTGACAACTTCTCTCGGATGTCCTCAGGGGCTGTGTCATCTGCTTGCTGTTGACAAGTAATAGGAGATGGATATTCATCAAATTCATGGAAAAAAAGTTGGGGTCCTAATCCATGTATAATTAGACATTTAAATTTGGGACTGTTTTAATAGGTTTTATTCATATTCCGATGGCACTAGATTTAAATCCTATCACATGTGCACTTAGATTGAAGCCAAGTTGGCAGAATATTATGAGTACCTATGAGGGTTTTTTCATCCAAATCCTGCCTTTGTGTTTGATTTTATCAGTACTGCATTAAGAAAACGTTGGTTTGTCCAGTCCTGTTACATTTATATCAATGACAGAATGTCCAATGTGATATGACAGACATTATGAATTGTGGTGAGGGCAGCATTCTCAGTTTGCAGTAGTGGGTTGCATCCCAGCTGCTCAACAGAAAAGGTTCTCCACCACAAAACCTCCACCAATGGTCCAAACATCACCAGGAATAGTACCAAGACAGAATTCCTCAAGGAATCATCAGTATTCACATACAGGAATGAGGGATGCATCAAAGGAGAAATGCAAGATGCCACACTTGGTATTTGCATTCTCAACGATGGGGAAAAAAATTCGACAAAAAGGGATGGGCTTAAGAGATGAGAGGCAGGTGGGAAAGTCTATCCAGAGCCACTCCCTGGGGTGGAGAAGATGATACAAATGCAGACACAATCCAACCTTTCCCTCTCTCATTTAACTATATCTTAAACAACTGCTGAGACCAGCAAGGAATTTAAGAGAAGGATTACTTTCCCTTCTCATACATTAACAGGCTTTATATCAAATTTCATCAATAAAGTAGTGCTGTGAAAAAACAATGTTCAGCTCCATTTGGGATGTTACTGTGAGAAAGCTGTGGTTGTGAAACCTTTTTTTAAATGTAGAGTTGATAAAAAATGTATTATAAAATTCGGAAAGAGGTATCTGTTATGCTTTGAATGCATGAAGAGAAATTACTTTGCTTTCAGTCATTGGAATACTTTAAATACTTTCATATGGGATGAAAGCTTCTTACAAAGCTTATTAATTTAAATGAGAACCATGAAATGCACCCTCATGAAAAGATATTCACAGATGTAAGATGTCAGATCTGCTAGGGCAAAATGGAATCTGGTCGCATGTTATTCTTCACACCTGCATTCCCCATTCCACATGAATAACATCAAACTCTCAATATTACATGTAAGTGTTTGGGAGAATAATAATGCAATTCAAAGTAAAAAGAAGGACATCTGTGTCTGTTACAGTAAGACACAACACGAAATACATCTCTGTTTGCAATAGTACAGATCAACAAGACAACCAGAAGAAAAGGAAATGTTGAGCTATGAAGACTGTCTTCTAATGCAGAGTATGGAACAGGAAATCAATTAATCTTAGGACACACTGCAAAGCTGGTATACAAATCAAGAGCATGTAATGCCCATACCAAATCTAGATGTTTATTACTGGCAAGTGTTTTGGTACAGCAATGCTTAAGCAATTCTCAACTGTACTTACCACTTCTTCACTGGCCGTCTGTGGCCGTTCAGTTTGAGCTTCTTGTTCCACAGAGGGTGTCCTCTGAAGCAATGACAGGTGTATACCAGAGTCATCCTCAAGATCTTGGATAACCTGATCTTGATCTCTATTCTCTCTGCAAACAGAAGAGACAGACAAGGAATCCTGGATGATTTGCTCCTCTATGGCTCAACTTCAAGACACTTTTACTTTATCTAATTCATAAATTTATGGTAAATTTATCAGACCGAGTTTTGGAGCTACAATTCCACCAGAAATCAGAATGACCCTAATCTGGGTAAATAAGCACACATAAAATCTTATTTTTGACATGAATTGTTAAGGTACAATAGTGTTTTGTTCTGTTTTCGGTTTTTCAAGATATAGTTAAATCTCTTGTTACATCACCTTTTTCTGATAATGTCTATTCATTACATTACCATGTCTACTAGATGTGGGCATGACATGTACTACATCAGTTGTCCAAACAAAAACTTCATGCCAACATAACCACTGTGATAAGCAGCTTTTGTAGTGTGTAAAACAACCTACTTACCCTGAAACCAGCCAAACGGCATTGGGTACCCTGGCAGACTTGCGTAATGACCAGATGTAACGCACCATGAAGTTATAACGAGCCTGGGCAATCTTGATCAGACTGTTCCGAGGTACATCCAGCTGATCATTGGAAAAAAGGGTAAACATTCAATATTAAGACTAAAAAAGGAACAAAAAGCAGTCATGATACGTTTTCATCTGACATGTTAGATTGATAGTACATGTGCTGATTAATGTTTATCTCAGCTCACTGTTTGAGAATAGGGTTGCAGTAAGTTTTGAAAGAGATTTGGATTTGTACTTTTCATTCATAGAGCTCCTTTTTTGTATCAGTGATGGGGAGGTGATGCTATGTAGGGCATCTTTGGTAAACAAATTTTTGAATTTTTTTTAACAGTAACAAGGTATAAAGCAAATATCTGACTAAAATGCACAGTGAAGAAAGTGAACTTGGTATGTTTTATCTCATAACAAAGAAAGGATGTAGAGAAGAAGACAGCTCAGGACAGTAAATAGTTTTCAGTAGAAGGCAGTGCAAGCTTTATGCATCGCATTGGGAGCATGTAACCACGAAATAAAAGACAGTCTGTGCAGGAATCAATTTCAATGGTCAATAAATTGTAGCTGGTACGCACCGATCTGTGGTCGTATGTTATAATTGTGTAGTACTTGGCTTGTCTGCTTTCTTCTTTGGGTCCAAATTGTAGTATGCTAGGCATCCAGACTTCAGAGTCCGCCGACAGAAAACGAACCATCACAAAATCACCTGTCTGCAAACACAAAATGTCAAGATTTGACAAGTGAAAACATGAGATCACTATGAAGTGGAAGTTTCATGCAATAATGGATTGACCAATTAAAAATTCAGATGCTACAAATGGCTTAAAAATTAAAAGTAATGTGAACATTCAACAAAAATATAGCAATTAGAGTTAGTATTTTATCAAAGAAATTCAAATTAATACTATCTATATTCTGCTTTCATACACAAACAGGACAATGCAACAGCAGATACAAACGTATCTAAATATGCATGGCAGGCTGTACTTGACTTGGTATACATGTACAAGGACAGTGGAAGTCTGTTGTAATGGCCTCCTTCCATTGAAATAATTCCCCAACTTGGAACTACATGTATTGAGATTTGCATATTTGCCAACTCTGCCTGCAGCAAACGACTCACACCTCCAAGACAAAAAAACATGCCCTATATCAAATTTCAAATAACTGTTTATTTTTTCCCAAAGACAACGAGTACAACATGCTTGCTTGTTTTGGGGTAGATAGTTTCCTCGACCCTGCTGAGCAAATGTCACTCTTCTAAGGTTTGAGTCCTGAAGCATATATACACTGACATTTCCAAGTAGTGGTTGCATTTTCCTAGCTTACAAGCATATTTCCTACAGGCATTTTTTTCTTTCAGACACAAATTCTTGAATGTGAAGACTGGCTCAAATTGTCTGCTGGGCTATCAATGGCTAATCAACAGTGCAGAGACCGAAACCAGACTCCAACCAAAATACTGAGGCTACTATATGCTTCCCATGTTTATCAAAGTTAGCATGAGGCATGATTTTGGGAGGGAGAGTTGGACAGAATTCCTGCTAGAAAGAGGCCAATTACCCAGAGGCACCTGTAAGTCACAGTCAACACTGTCCCTGTGAAATCAATCAACCCCACAGGACAATTTTGGAGGTAGGTATATTCCAACAGCAACAATATCTTCTTGTCAATAATATGGATTTTTATTCACAAAAGCACTTTCTGTCCGATAATTTTTGGGCCTAAAAGAAGAAACAATATATGCAGTAAACAAGAAATGGTTTGAGGGCAAATTGCATGTTCGTCAGTACAAACATACTTGCCCATATTACCTACCACGATTAAGAGGTTAAAATCAGCACTAAGCCTGATTAGAAATATGCCTTTTGAAATTTTCATGTTTACAAATGGCATCTGAACATTGAAATCTTGGACAAGGATGTATGTAGCTTTGATAAAATGCATTGGGTATCATTTCTCTGACTGCTTAAATGGACTAGTTGATCTGCAGCCACTTTGCATATTAGACCCTGCTGGCTAAGCATATAATTTTGATTTGTGAACAAACATTACACAGGCTTGGTGGACTGAGTTTGTTTCAAAGAAAGAGTCACAGAGAACAGATTAAGGTTGGTTTCTGCCACTGTAATCATCTATTGATATTCTCTGTCAGTAATGCGATGATAGATGGCTGTCAGGTAAGCTGATAATTCAATTATCAAGAGTCACACTATCCCTCTTTACTCACTCGTAACAAAGGAGCTGGCCTGGCTCCTTGGGTCTCAATGACAAATCTGCTAGGAATGACTTCCTTGGTATCATCAGCTGTGAACCTTATCTCAACATGCCTTGCATCAGTGATGCCACACACAATACCTGACATACAGCAAGATATGAGGGGAAAATCCCATGATACAATGGTAAACCTTTGCAAAAGTAAGCTGGCTTTAATTACTGAAGTAGTTTCATCATTAACATATTTTACATCTTTATAATTGACAACAGTTGAAGGTATATTGTGTCATGGCTTTTATCAATAGACCGACACAAGCCCAAGTATCTCAGTTAACACAGCAAAGTACAATTCCCATATTGCAAGTTTGAATCTTGTTTCAATTGGAATGATTGGTTGCTGACCCCAAAACCCAAAGAAACACTATTTTCAATTTCCATTCGATATCAATCAAACATAAATTCAAAAATACGAATTATTTTCAGTACAAAAGCAAATAGCAAAGTATATCAAGGTGTAGGTGCATGTATTCATTAAATTTTATTTGAATGTCTTTTCAAAACTTTGCACAAACTTTAAAAGTAGGCTAATTTGCATTTCCTAGTACTCATCGTAACTGAACACAAGTATTGGTGCTGACTTCATTGATAATCTTATTAAGGCTGACTGGACTTTTCAAACTTACCTGGATAATACAGCCCATTCACACTGCTCCGTGCAATGACCTTTGACCTTAGGGACAGCCTGATTGGGTAATTTTGTTCTGATACTGTTGACTTCATCTTTCTTGGGGCTTTGTGTTTCAGCTTCGTCTTTGTGCCCGGTCCACCCCTCACAACCACTCTTGCTTTTTTTACCTGTAAAGGTTCACAATTCACCAGCGAGTTTAGAATTTTTACAACCAAGACAGATATATAAAACGAACTACATAACAGAGTGATTGGAGGGTGGATCTCAACAAAGACAAACTCTTTACAAGTTTTTTTGATAGATCTTGAGGTTTTCATGAGGCAATTTTGCATGTCAAAAGCTGTTACAAACGGTTTGGTAGCATGAAGTTGGGAGAATTTTAAGGCTAATGGCTGAAAGGTGAATGCCTTTTGGAGACTTTTACTAGAATTCTCTCCTGAGCCAGCCCCAACCACAAATGGTAAACAGAACACACAACACAATACAAGTAACATAGTAATTTCAAAAACATGTAGAATTGTTCTTGAGCCTAGGAACAAGATAACTCAATATGCTGCAGGTTTGCTATTTTTATTGCATTAGACAAGTACCGATTTATGACAGCACACAAACATTATCCTAATGAAATACTAAGTTTCTGAATACAATCATTGTAGAATGAACTTTAGGCGGTTAATGCTGACTGGAGTATCTTTATATGTCCATGTATACTGGTTGGTATGGAGGAGGCAAAATTTGTGCAACTACATTGTTCATAAAAATCACCCTGTATAAATAAATTTGGGGGAACTGAAACATGACATGACATTGCATGAACATGACAATTTAAAAAAAAGAACTGAAGACTTAACATCTGCACTTACATAAAAATGTGCTGCATAACAAAATAACTTGTCCTTATTCCATGAACTTTACACTGATATTTGGGAAAAAAGAATGTCAATTGAGTTCGGTAAATTTACCTTTCATGTAAAAGGAAGTTGATAACATTACATTTTCTGAGCACAAAATTTTGAAATGTGTAAAAATAACACAGTTTTCACTTCTTCAATTATGGTTATATAGTTATACTGTATTAAGGTGTTAGGTGCATCACAAACTAGATATTCACTCAGAATTGCTCAAAGTGATGTGCACAATGAAGATATGTTGTCTCAATATTTACAACAGGAATTCATTAATAGAATGTACTTTATTTTAAAAAGAACACTGCACTTATTGCAAATTAAAAAAACTTTTAAAGATAATGCTGCTTGGTTTTTTCAATATTGCGCAGTAAATCAATTTACAATCCAACAAATATGCTGCAAAACAACAAATATACAAACAAAAGCATGCACATAAATTGCATTATTATTAATAAAAAAGAATGACTTTATAAAATATTTCCCCAAATAGGTGAGTGTTAAAACTGAAAATCCTATTGTCAAATCTTTGAAATCAAAATGGTTTTTTTTTACCCTCTCTTCGATCTCACACTTTAGCCCTGTAGACAATTTTTGCATCATTCAGTATACTTTTCCGACAGAAAATCAACTGGGTTCACATTACATGTAAGGCTCTTCAGCACAATGCAGCGCTATTTTATAGTCTGGGCAATAAATTTGTCATAAGAACTCATGAAATGCAAAGTATGTAATCTTAGGGAAAACAGGCTTTAAAAACTGAAATTAATATTTTTACACATTTGATAAAGACCGTTTATGAGACGTTTTTGATTCAAATAGCTAGATCCCTCATCTGTGATTGGTAATCTACCTCATCATTGCTGGATTGATCATCATCATCACTGTCACGGACATTCCTCAGCTCTTCATCACTGGAGTCACTGCTGTCTTCCGATCTACTCCTATTATCATCTGACTCATCCTCTTCATCATCACTGTGATAGCTTCCCTCTGACACATCCTCTGCGATCCTTCTCTGCCTTGTTCCAGAAACCACTGAGGCATCTTCAAAGGTATCCTCTGAAGCCTTTGGCTGCCTCCTTTTGACAACTTCCTCTTTTCTGGGTGTGATCTCTTCAAGACTCCTCCCTGTAGATCCACCAGACTGTGACCCATTCATCTTCTGCCGGACTGCTCTCTGGATAGCATGGCTGTGCCTGAGATACCTGTTGCCGGTCTCTATCTCATCTTCTAGCAGGATGATGTCTTTCTCTGGCAGGGGCCAACCCAACCGGTCCAGGGCATCCAGACAGTCCTTGCGGTTGTCCAGAAAAGAGATGGGATCTTCACAGTCAAACCTCCAAGAAAATTAATTAAAAGAGAAATCAACAGAGACTGACTGGAACATTTCTATACAATCACAAGGTAGCACCTTCATGTAAATTGCAGAATATTATTTACTTGAAGTCAGCTTCAGGATGCTTATGTCTCATTAAGCTGAACAAGTTAAACAGTGCATCCAAAGACTTACTGGTTTCGTTCTTCTGGTGTGAGAGCTTTCCACACTATCCTGTCCAGCCTCTTGTTGAATCCACTGATAGCTTTCTCTAATTTCTCATCATAGGTTTTCAAGTCAATGCCATTGGGATTGACCAGGCTGATCTCTTGTTTGTTGTCTGTCACATGAGCCAAGGGTAGGATCTGTGTAACAAGTTGTTGGTTTTGACTAAAATGATGACTACAATTAAAGAATGGTTGCAAACATAATTGTCACTGCAAAGTAGAATTTGTTGTTTAAGATCTAGTCTTGGTTCCAAGATGCTTTTAGTGGTATGATTTTTCAACATGCACAGTTATTGCAGGCACCCTCTACACACAAACCACAGATTTAAAGGAGGTCTTGGAAATCTTGCATTGTAACAGTGTGTGACACATATGCATAATTCAACAGGCGGGTCACAAGAACAATCGCATGGGGATACTGGTGAAAATTTATATGTTTGTAATAAGTTGGCTAGTTGGGGTTCCTGAAGCTGTTGCGTGCAGCATTGCATGCCTTCATGCAGCCAGCCTGCTAATGTGTAACTGATTAACAACAACCTAATAAGAGCGATTATCGCCAACAATTTCTCCTCTTTGCCTCCAGAAACATATTTCATTCAAGAAATCTATGATCAGTGTTGCTGCTTCAAATATCACACTTTTGGCAAATCCAGTAGATAAATTGAGAAAAAAATGTGGCCTTGTACAATTTGATCACTTGATGAAGAGCACTGATCTGCTGTTATTGTTTGAACTTTTCAAAGCCGAATTTCTTTCCTCGCGAAATCTGCTGTCTGACATCTTTTCTACCAAACAACGAATGAGAGAATGATCAGTTGATCTACACACAATGTACATGTGAGTTGGAAATTGCATGTCGTACATGTGCACTGGAATTAAATATATGGCAATGTTAAGCGTGATTATGCGTGACATAATGCAATACATGAACAAAGCTGCTCGGGATTTTCGAAGCAAAACTGCAAGATTCCCAAGAAGTCCTTTGCAGCCTTATGTGTAGAGGGCACCACTTTGGTGAATCATTGTACAGTCTAAAGATCATGCATGCCGAAACACTGCACCACTACAAATACCTTGGCACCAAGACAACTCAAGGTCAAGCCATGGACTTTACAATGTATGTACATAAAAAGAATGCACAGCTCTAATGTAGCATTAATAAGCACCATGTGAATGGCCCAGATGCTCACTGATCTCATTTTGACAAGCATCACAATTACAAAGACTTCTTCACTTCACCTACTCAACATCACTGAAGTATACTTACATCATTGAAAACCTGTGAGATGATGTGTTTATCTAAGATGGGTACATATTTAGACCGTTGCTTGACCGCTGTTTTTCCTAAGGCATCGTAGATGGTCAGCTTACGAGCCTTCAAACCATGTTTCTGCAGCCAACGTTTAGAGGACATCTTCAATGGGCTGTTGGAATAAATGAATGGAAGTGATAATGCAACCTGTTGACACTGACAAAACCGATTGCTAAGGTGATAAAACAGTGTTCAACCAGGAAACACAAAACTGGGAGAAAATGACAGGTAAAATTGCTGCAGACAATTTACTCTTGAGTTGCCCAAGGTACATTCAATACATGAAACAAATAAAATTGGGTTGGTAACTTTTTAATACAAAACACCTAATAAGGTCAAATATATGCATATTTTCATTAAAAAACTGCTTTTGGGACTTACTCGACAACTTTCTTTTTCCTGGGTGCTTTCAGTTTTTGTTGTTCATTTTCAAGGCCTATGAGACAAAAATAACAATACTCATCATAGTTAACAAAGTAGGATCTACACATTTTTTCCTCAATAGGTATGCATGAAAGAAAACTCTAAACATCGCAGCAATTGAAATCTTCTTTTCTTTTGATTTAAACCCGTCAGTGAGATTCCTCAAAGATCACTATGGACCAAACTTGAGGACAAATGGTCTCACTGTCCTGTGGGTGTCATACTGAGCTGATATGCTGACTTGTAGGCAAAGATATTAAAGTAATAATGCAATAAGTTTGTACTTTCCATGTTCATTGCTTGAACGTACCTTGGAGAGCTGTATTGACCCTTTCCTGCTGTTTGAGGAGCATACTTTTGGTCTCAGGAACCACCCAACCATCCAGGCTGCCTTTCAATCGCAGCCAACTTGTCTTGGTGTGATCTGAAGAAAATATAAACATGAAAATTAATTAGGCGTGAAATATCAAGAAATATATGCACAAGAAACGAAAAAAACCTCAACTACGAAAACAACAGTTTCATATTGAAAACGCAAAACATATCTAAGTCTACTGCAAAAGGAAATTATCTTCTTGAATAAGTTTCAACATACAGGTAACGTTTGGCTTGCTTTTCTTTGAAACAGCTGAGTTGGGTCGTGGTGGATATGTTGCTGTTCTGGTTCTAGGCTTGCATTTTTCATGGGTTGTTGAACTCATGCTTAATGACGACATAGGGCGACGCATTGCTGCTTGGTAGCCATGGGCACTAGTGGGTCGTGAGTTGCGGGGTGGGATGGGGCTTGCTGAATCTCGGCTGAGGATCTGGGAAGCTGATCGTAGACCAATAGCTGATGACGGCCTCTTTCTGGAAACATCAACATAAAGGAATCACACAATTTCTGCTGAACTAAAAAGTTATCATGGTATTGTTCCACCAACAAAGCATGTAAGTTTGGCAAACACACGGAATCAAAAAAGTAATGTGTATTTGGGGATTCATGGGAATAGATAACAATGTATAGAGTCCCCTAACGTGGCACACTTCAACTTTCAATCCACTTCCCTTATACAGTATTCCCAAAGCTCTTGTTGAAAAAAATTCAAGTTAATTTGGTACTATAACCTTCATAATACAGGCTTTCAAACCTTTGAGAACAATTTCAATGTCATGAAATTTCGGACATTTCAGTCCAGAAACTGGGCAAGAATTTATCTGAGTGTTCCCTAATGTGCTACACTCGAAAAAATCTTGTAAAATCCCTACAGAAACAAGTTACTAAATTCTAATAAAGTATTACTACCGCCACATAAAGCACAAGTTTGTTAAAGAGTTGTTTTTGTATTTTTGGGTGTATTTACAAGAGTCCATCTTGCACTTCAAGAAAAATGGAAAATCAAGTCAGAACTTTATAGCAGGTGAGTAAAATCAAGATTTTTGTATTGGGAGTTTTGCATGATTTTAGGTAAAAAATTGTTGTGACAAGGCACTAAAGCAAAAACATCAAGTGTGCCGCATTAGTGGCCATGCAATGTTCAACACTATTCGTTTGCGATGCAGCTTAAACCACTTCCTGCCAGTGATTCTGGATCCGAACACGTATGCTTTATATGCGTGGCCGGGGTCTCCGAACTCGGACAAAGGGAACTGGGCCCTGTAACAAAAGACTGTACTTGGAACAAAAGACCAGGCTGCTGGGCGTTACTGACATTTTTCACTCTCAAAAGTGGAGATAACCCAGCCTTGTTTTGAAACAGTATACCACGGTTTGGGGCATTTAGAGTGAGCGGATTACCACCGGGGACAAAAGCACTCCACCATCGAAGCAATGAGCCACACAGCACCACTGCATGCTAATCTGGCCCCTATTGAAAAGAGGTCAGCAGCGCAATGAGCCAAGTTCGTGAACAAAAGAATATTACGTAACACCACAATTTCTGGGCTCTTTTTACAAGGCAGCAGGTCTGGTTGAAATACTCCAGCATCAATAGATGTTGACTGTCAGGCTAGAGTGGACACAAGACAGTCCTTCATGTGTTTGTAAATGTCCAGTAAATGAAGATAAGAATTTTTTAAGAATTTTGAAAACAAAAAAGAAAAAAATGATAATTATCCTGGACCAGAATCATCAACATTGATAACTGCCCCCGGCAGCAAGTGGTTAAGAAGCAGAAGGGGAATTTCATTTTGTTATAAAGTTGAGTGAAATTTTACAAAGTTAGTTGTATGAAAGATAACCCAACTGACCTGATGCCATGATCTCGTCCACATCCTAACTCCTCACTCCTAGAGTTCCCCCAGTCCAGCAGAGCACACTGTGCTCTAAGATCAGCCAGTTTCTTCATGTCATCTTTGCCTTTCTTTATCTCCTCCTTCAGCAGTCGGACATCCTCACTTTCATAGGGCTGGGGACCTGCAATCTCGGGAGAGACACCAAGGAGCTCATCTGAGTAGTAGTGATAGCGCCCTCCAGAGTCTGCAGCAAGCAGAGCCAAGAAGTCATTGGCTTCACGGTCATTGCAGTTGAAGGAGATGGTGTGGATAGGAACAGCTTTCTGAAGCTGTACCTGGGCTAGGATGGTTTTGGGAGGCTGTAAATGGAAATAAAAGGAAAGGGAACAATCAGAAATTGCAGTAAGTGAAAATGAAGTATCTATCTGTCCTTTTGAAGTTTGCTATCCTACAAATCAGATGATATCATCAATGGAATGTAGAAATGGTTTGACAGAAAAATACTTTGAGTGACTATTTGTATTCTAGGGGCCTATTTAAAAAGTAGACAGCAAGTAAATTACAGTTATGAGTGGAAATTTAGGTTCCTGTTCAACTTGGGTACATGGTGTCCTCTTTTGTAAAATGTCATAGTGTACAGGAATGATAATGAAAATATCCAAGCTCACAACTTCAAATTCCTACTCACGTGATCAGGCCTGCCATCTGTCAGTAGATATACTGCCTGAGTGTTGACATCACTCAGTGCTGTCTTCAAGGCAGCCAGTGTGTTAGTTGATCCACTAATAGACAAGTTACGGACCCACTGCCATGCACCCTGTAAGCTGGATTCATTGACTTCAACCATACGATCCCGCCATGACATGCTCCGACTACCAAATTTGACCAGGTTGAAACGAGACTTGTGTCGAAGTTGTTCCTATTGTTGGCAGTGAAAGAAAAGACATGCTTGTTACTGCATCATCACTTTTCAGTCCAATAACATTAACAAAGTTATTTGTTGACTGGAAATACTTCCAAAATATTGTTGCAAAAGCTTCCAGGTACTTCAAAGTATTAAGAGTTCATCATTTCTCAAAAAACAAGCTCTTTATTGTTAGGCCTGAGTTTGAAACATGGCTGTGATGTCTACCTAACTACAAATATGATGAAAAGAAGAAGGTGCAATTCCCAACAAGTTTGGATTGATTTCCGTCATAAACATTAATCTTGGATGGCTATGTCCCATCTGACTGACCTGCATGAGTTTGAGGAGCTTTTCTTTCACCAGTCCTAGGTGGTTCTCCATTGAGTTGGATGTATCAATCAGGATGTAAACTTCATTCTCAATGATCGTCCCAAACAACTCTCTACTACCCTGCTGCAACCAGTCAATCCTTGAGAAAACATGAATGTAAACATTTCCAATTCATATTGGTTTGATTCATAAATTCAGACTTCAGTGTATAAGTGTCCTGAATGAGATTTGTTCATCTTCATCCAACAACCTCAGTCCAAGATAACAAATCCTAATAGTCCTGGTATCCTGCTAGCAGCTAATGCTGATCCACAATGTTGGGGCAAGCAGTAAGGCCTGTCCAAACACTAGTGCCTCATTATGTTCCAAATGTAAGACAGAAAATTGTGATGGTATTCTGCTTCCCTGTCAAACAATAGTTTCTAGACATTATCTTTATAGGGTGTGCATTTATAAACTAAAAATCACCTTCTTTATTTCCTTACAGGTTCAACTCGAGACCTTATGGACGAGCAGTACCAAATCAGTGATCATCCCACCCACAATAACTCAAAATTAAGGTGCAAATAAAAAGCTAGAAAACAGCTCTTTACCTTCTTTGGTAGTCTTCCAGAGCTACAAGCATTTTCCTCTCATAATTTCGATGAATGTCGGCTGTGACGTGTACATGTTTGAGAGACCCATCCTTCCAAGTAACATGGCAGAACTTATCACAGTACTTGGCATTCACAAGTTTGTTTCTCGTGGCCTGCATGAAATTTGAGAAATAATAAAAAAAAATTAAACAGGTGAATGTTTTGCAATGTTTGTCTTAATCAGACCTTCACTTTTACTTTAACTTTCATTGGCATATTTCTAAAAATCAGAATGATCAATTTGCAAATACAATAGTCAAAAATTTTTCATCAATTTGTGGAGAAAGCTTTTAATGTACTTAGGTGTAAGGTCAAAATACCGACGCTTTAGAAACAGTTCAACGGTTGGTGTTAATTCCCCCTCATCCGTTCGTTGGTTGGTTTGGGACAGTTCAATGGTTTGAAAAGAACCGTCTGCCCTGGACTGTCCAGCTTCACAAGCAACCCTGACAACAATGGAGTTTGTAGCTTATGCAGTCCTAGCTATAAACAATAGATCCTATTCAAGGAGAACTTCAGTGACCCCGGTCAGCCCCCTTGGCTAGCCGTAAGGATTAGTGATTAACACCTTTGATGGAGACGCAAAATCAACTGCCTTCTAGGCTACAGACATTGTTCTAGCCTCAGAAACGTTTTGAGTGGGTAATTCATGACAAAAAGACATTGCCACAAGATCAATGTTCACCTTTAAGTGGTTTTAGACTGGAAATAAAGAAGTTTAGGCCTCGAAATAGTACTAGCCCGGCGTACAAATTCTGGCGAAAAATGCTCCGGGCTATCTAGACTTGGTTCCTTGGTTGCCCGGTGGGCTAGTGAAAAACTCAGTACAGAACCTACCTGTAGTGTTAAAATTTAGATCAAAACACATGTATTGCTTTTGGTGATAATAAATGCATGATTGCAAAACCTTTAACTACAAGTGCATGTGGCATACAGCAAATCATGCGTCTTATTTTTCCTTTCCTTTTTTTCTTCATTGGTATTAAAGCTAACAACAATTTTGGGCTTTCTTTTTTTTGCATACGGACTAGTAAAACTCCAAACGGGCTAGTAAAATGCCAAGTTTACTAGTCCCGTGGGCTATCCAGGAAAAAAGTTAGGGCAAGGCCTGAAGCTTGTATGGAAGTGACGGGAAATGCCAAACACGGTTGCCTCATTTTATGACCTGATCTATCGTCTCTGAAAGGAAATATCCACAAAGACACAACATGAATTTTTTTTTTAATTTTAGTCAGGTGTACCAAAATTCTTTGAAAGTAATAAAAAAAGTCAAACTCCGCATCAAATAGTGCTGCAAGAAGATGTCAAGGTTTATTTTTGGTTTGGTTCAGACATGGTTTGGAAATTTTTTGCCGAACTTCAGATCGGTTGGGGTTAGGACATGTACACGCATGTACACGTACATGTACAATGCACACCGAGACATCAAAAAGCTCGGTACGAACATGCTGCATAGGCCTGTACAATATTTTTTAAATATTGTTTAAAATTATATTAATATAAATTGATCTCCTGTCTCTCCCCATCCATGAGCAACTTTGATTTGAATACATTTTTTCTAAACTGTTTCCCCAGAGTTCGTTTACGAGTACATTCCATACAAAGTTACCACCAGAGGTGTGACCGTATTTTGCCAACCAGATGCAGGTGTTTGGCTCAACAAAACAATTGTAAGATATGTACAAATAGAAAAACAGCATGCTCAATTAGAACTTTCCTCCTTCAGTACAGGATACAAAATTAAATTAGATTTCGAGCGAATTGTGTTTGGTTATTTTTGCGAAAATAGATTCAACGAAAATATAGGTAAAATCAAACACCAGAAATCAGAATAAAACCCGACATGTTTGTTTTCCAACATAAATTTGTGCAGCCACAAAGTATAAAAAGAGTACAAAAGAACAATACAAAAAACAAAATGCATGTACTGTTGCCTTCCAGAAAAAGCATGTATCCTTAAATCGTGCAGTTGCGGCCGCTAAGTGGAAAGCGCGTAGTTTGCGTACGTGTTTTCCTCGATCCTACACATGAACACCTGCGAGAGCATAGTGCCGAGTTTTGCGCACACAGGGAAAAAGAGGTTTTTATCTATAACTATACTGTGACGAACAGAACACTATGTCAGGTACGATTTAGGTTCTATTTCGTGTTAGTATAATCAATTCTGCAGGTATACAATTAGGTGTGTATTTGACTCACGATACCGAGACAAAATACATCTACCAAGATTACAGGGTATCGAGACCTGAAAAGACTGGTCTGGAAACCGACAGCGCAGATATTTTACACTTTATAAGCGACAAAACTGCTCAGTACACAAGTTTTATCGGGAAGTTAAGTAAAAGGCTATTGTCGTGACTCATCCACCAGACCGCAGGAGCCCTTGATGCGGTAATGCAATAAGCGAACGGTTTGGCCAGCCTCGCTGAAGCGTTCGTCTGTTCGGTGTTGACCATCGGTGGAGCTTAGCGTTTACAAAGCATCAAACGCTTTCAAAAGCGTTTGTATTTTGACCGCACGCCTTAATGAAATTCTACTAAAGAAGTTTCACTAAGTCTCCATCAAGAGAAATATGCTGAACACCACTAAACTCACAGCATCAGTATATTCATCATCTGGAGGTCTCTTCACATCCACAACTCCATCACAATGCTTGAAGGAGCAGAGACTTAACGCATCATAGAGGTCCAGTTTACGAGGCTTTAGACCATGTCTGTGCAGCCACTCCTTGGAGCTCATGTACTGCTCACTACGTTCACCACTGCCAGGAACATCACCGTTTTGTATAGACAGACGAGCTGAAATTTAAAAAAAATGTTCTCAACACGTTCTGATACTGCAATAACTATTCAGTTTCTTCCAAGCTGCATTCTTTTTTCAAAAATTTTATGATCAAAGACAACATTTAGATGTGCCGAATCTGTAATCCTCATGTAAAGGAAGTAATTAGGCCACTAATTGTGGGTTCACCTGACAACAAACGTACCACAACAAATATTTTTAGAATATGCAAATTTGCCAAGCACAGGACAGTTGCCCATGAAAAAAAAGGCAACAAAAATGTGATCTAATGTAGGGACTATAACTGTGAATGACAGTCAGCAGATTCCTATAATACTGATGAAGTAATTGTTTTCTGCTTGGCAGCTGCTTTCACTTGAACTTGACCCACATTTACAGAGTAGGTTGTTGTCTAAAATATTTCATATCCCATCAACTGGCGGCAAGAAAGGAGCATAAATTGCTTCAGTTCTCTGTGCAAACTCTGCAATAAATCCATTCTTACCACTGTCTGGTTTTCCATCGGGCACTGTGTTGTCCAGCAAAACCTGTACATCTGAGAGAGCATGCCTAGCCTCCTCAAGCTCAGCAAACATAGCTATCACATCCTCTCTTGGCCCTGCCCCTGGAGGTACACCCCCCATCAGGATCTTGTTGTCTAGTGAGAATCCACTGGTCCCACTCACATCAGAATCAAGCTTGTTGAAGGCAAATGCATGGAATCTATGCAAAGGAAAATATTTTTGAAGGGTCTATGTTTGATACAGCTACACCCACAGGTTCATTCAATTTAAAATGTGTATGATGACAAGTTGTTGCATAACAGTGTTTTATGAGGTTGATGCCAATCCAACTAAAGTAAAATCCTTTCAGCTTTCACAGAGCAATCAAGGTTAAGTACATCAATCACGTATCATTCAAAGATTGATTTAAATGTTGAATTAAGTTCAAATAAGGACGTACCTTCCTCCAGTCAAACGTGATATATCTTTAAGATATTTGATGGTAATGGAGTCTGTATTGTTGAAAGCTACAACATGCACAGGTAGTGGAGCATCTCGGACCTTCTGCAATGTTAGCTCCATATTGGTGCTGGCTGAACTTCCTTCAGAGAAAAGATACACAGCCTCAACCTGTAAGCAAGAATAATACTCACTGAAATCAACAGCTCCTCAGAAGGATGCGACTTTATTGTGCAACAACAGAAAATTATCCCGTATCACTGGTGCAAATAATTTGACAAAGTATCACAAAACAGTTCACCCTTGGATGAAATTTCTGCAATTTCTATTGTAGCGGTCCGGCCCCCGGCCAGTCACTCAGGGGTGGCAGTCATCCGCCACTGAAGGGGAAATTGGAGGCCAGACAAAAAGAGAAAATTTGGCAGGCACAAGACTTGGGTACTTTACACGGGCTCGATTCCCTTTATTTTGCCTTCACTGATGAAAACTGCTTGGACAATATGTGCAAGATGCTACAATCTACATGTATGTGATTGATTCTTGCCGAAGTCATCACTGCGTCCATCGACCTAGTTGTCTAACTGCAATCTTCCAGAAAACTTGGAAGTCCACCAAACTTCTCTAGTTGCGCCCAAAAGTATAACCATGTCATGATCGTAGGCCACTTCCGGCCGACTGGTGTGACATCTAGAAAGTCTACAAGTACATGTACATTGCAAGTGTGCATGCGGGCCCTGCAATAATCATGCCTTAAAGACATGCACAAGGTTCAAAGGTCACATAATTCGCTGATATAAATGGGGATTCCAAGACCCCTACACTATGTTCACAAGTCTGCCACTCTGCTATTTTAAACACTGTGCATGAACTTTCCAACCTGGCAAAAAATAGAAGAGAGGGTCAAGAGAAATAGATGAACACCTGCTGGTTTTGGCAAGGCTTGATAGAACAAGTTATTTATTTGACAATACTTGGTCTGATGACATGTACACTTACATTTTTGTCCTCAAATGCCTTTCTGATGCCTTCACAGGCACTAGTCTTGGTTGTTTCAGCCACACTATCTAGGTTATGTAGCCAGTCAATAGCATTTTGAAGACTGTCTCTGGATACAGGGACAGCTTGAGGTTGAAATATCACCACGTCCTGTGCAGCTCTGCAATATGTGAAAAAATACATTTTTTGTCAAGAAATATCATTCATATATTTGAAAGAAATTAGTAATATCTTGCAGTTATATTCAAGTCCATCACAAATGATTTCACAAGTCCTTTCACAAGTCCATCACAAGTTCCTTCACAAGGCGAGTCATAAGTAACAGGGTGAACAATGACAAAGGAATGCTTCTGTCAAAGCTCATTTGAATAGCTTGTGAATTGGCTTATAACTGAATGATTTGTGATGGACTTACAGGGGCTTGTGATGGACTCAAATACAACACTGATCTTGACTTGCTCAGTTTTAGTGTCATTTCATTAGGGGTACCAGCAACATTTGTCTTGTGAGCACCTAATATGGCAAACTTGGGTTACTACATGTACATGTAGTTCAGATCCAACTCTATGGTTTACTTTTTTTCTTAAATTAAATCATTTTGACTTCAGAGTGGAATATATTCAATATAACTTAATGGTGCTACAGGTCCACAAAATTAAGAATGAAAATCAATTGATAATAAAGTTTAAAAACTCATAAAAATTTACAAATCAGTGTCTGAAGAACTCCAATATGCTTTGAAGATGAACTGTGAAATGGTTTTCGGCCGAAATTTTATTCCTTACCTGATTAAGTTAAACTTTGCTATCTGGGACACTTGTTCCTGTAGTACCCTGATGATAGCATTACGGCAGTGATCAAACTGAAGAGGGGAGCTTGTCTTGATGTCAAGAACAATGGTGATACAGTGATCTTCAATTACACCAAACAGCCGTCGGGCTTCACTTGTCAACCACTCAATACGTCGCTTGTACAGGTTGATGGCAGCGAGCAAGCTGTTCTCAAGTTGCTTGATTTTCTCCCTACCAACCTTGACCTAGTTGGGTGCAATGCAGAGTAGGATTTAATGTTGTATTGGGAAAAGCATAATTTTAATCGTCACTGAGAATATATTGATGACATGAGGAAACTGCTTGCAACTCATTGTGTGAATTATTTTCTCCATACTGCCAATGATATTTCAGTTCTGCATGGCGAAACAGTGTTGCATTAATTTTGTCTTGCAAACAATTTTCAGTTGCTAGGGAAACAACAGGACCATACTCTGTGACGTCAAATAAATATTAGTTTAATGATCAAATAATTCACCCTGTGTTCAGTTGCTGATGTCATGAAAAATGCAGTATGTTGAATACATCATAGTGATAAGGGGGAAAAGTTGTATGTTGGGACAAATTGATACAACCTTTGGTTTTAGGATGTACATACGTGTACACGTACATGTAGGTCTGTCATGTCTGTTGTATGCTTGACTCACATTTACATTGTAGACTTTTCCATTTCTTGCAGGATACCTGGTAAACAATCCCTCTCCATATCTTGAGCAAACTGGTTTCTTTAGCGCTCGGTCATACTCTGAAAATAAAATGTGTCCTCTAAAGTTGATTTCAAGTCTTTGGAAGCTCACAGCAAAATGGAAAAATACAGTAATCTACATATATTTGGTTAAATTGTTATGATGGTGGGAAATGCTGTGGAATTTGTAAGAAAAAATCCAGTTTTATCATTCAAATAATATCACTAATACAAACAATAACAACTAAATATCCTGAAACATTTTAATGGCTTCATTGATTTTATTTATAGTGTTGATAAGAACTATAGTCTGTTCAGGATATAACTTACACTCATTGTTTGACAGTTTTTGCAACATTTTGAACCTGAGCTCCTGATTTATTGTCTTATAGGAAAAAGCATTTACACTACCCTGACGCTTGATTTGCAAAATATTCTTTACTTGCTTCGTGCACCTTATATTACGACTGCAAGATATATGGCCCTTAAGAACTGTCATCCTCATTAAATTATCACCTCATTAAAAATTATATGAGATCTCAAGTTTCATTTTGGTCCCAGCATCTGTTTACTCTGATGACAAGACAGCCCACAAGTGATGTATTTAATCATTGATGAACCAGCAATCACTGATAAAAAGCTTTGCAGGAAATGAGTGGAAATAAACACAAAGGTGGCACGATGAAAGAGTAAGGTTCAAATTGTGAGCACGTAACTTAGTAACAATCTCAACAGACCTTGGATACAACTATAGACTGCCTGCATTACATGGATGTCTTTATGTTTTTTAACTCTTTATGTTTTTTCCTAATAAATTTCTGGTGAAATGACATTCAAATAATCTTAATAATCATTTTTATAAAAGTCTGATTTTCCGTAATTGTCATTACTAATTGTGCAAACCTTCAGTTTTGAAATGTCCTCAGAATAGTGAGAAATGTACATGTACCTTCTGATTTTTTCAAAATATCTGTTGCTGACTAAATACATGTACATGTATGTCCAAAAAAGTCTTATTTTCAAAACTCGGTCTCCACTAATATTTTTTACATAAACCATGACATTATTCAGAATACTTATGAAGATTCTCCATTGCTTACTAAAAAATTGAAGAATAATAAATGATGAATACTGTAGACAATGCAAGTACATTAGATAAAGAGAGAACTGTATGTATTTGAGTCTTAACTGAGCACTGGTTGTAGTAGGATTGCCGTTGATAATCATTGCTGAATGACATTCGTGGAAATTCTTTCCTGGAGTGAGAGCTTCCCATGGCACTAAGCTATTCATTTTCATTACAGGCAGCATTAAACAGGAATTGAAAACTTTCTTATTTAAGGCAGCTTTTTATGAGTGACTTACGGTTTCATGGTTCATTTTAAGTGTAGTAAATTATGTTTTCTGATTGTGTAATGCATTGTGGGTTTTATTTATTTTTTAATTGCTAAATTTAATAATTTTAATTGTTGGTACATGTAGTTTTTTGTTGTGCGCATTAGAACATTTTTATACATTTCGCGCACTATAAATTACATTATTATTATTATTGGTTCATGTAGCAGTTTCTCAAACTGGACACACATGCTGTGGTCATCCTACTTTATAAGCCATGTTTTTCATGTAAAAAAAGAGCCATGTTCAAGCTTTAATGGTGTGAAAAGCTGCCACACACTATAGCTCATTGCCTGATTGAAACTGAAAGATGAAGTTATTGCTTGGCAGGAATCAGCACCTTACATTTTACGAACTTTGGCTCAAGCAATTTTAGTTCAGTTTACCAATTCTTGTATTCTACATGTACATGACCCATGCTTGGTGGATTGTTTGATTCAAGACTTAATAAACTCTTAATTACATGTACCTGCGTAACTGGCCAAAACACTACAATAATTCCAGTTTGAATAAGGGACTGCTTTTCTGTTTGTTTCATTTTTGTTTCTGTGTTTGGTTTGTTTGTTTTCCCCAGGCAACGGTATGACGTTAAGTAGCACAACCAGGTACATGTACATGGAGTTTCACTGTCTGTTTTCATTCAAATTGAACATAATGGTTTCTATTTAGTGTTGCTATGTTGTTACTCAGTTGGACAAATGTGTGTCTTGAGATTTGAAATTTAATCCGAGAAATCCACGTTACCATACAACTCTGAGGCACAACTCAGTGATAAAACATGAATACAATTCCGGCTCAGGGCTGTGTCCCAGACAAGGTAATGTGACCTGTGGCCTCACCCTCCAACTCCATTTATAAACAGATCCCCCCCCCATAAAAAAAATAACTGCTGACAAATCAGAAATTCTCATGTAGCCCACAATTCCCCTCCACAAAAAAGCTTATTTCTTACAGTTTTGCTGAGCAAGTGTTTTTAAAAAAATTAATGTTTTGGAAAAATAACATGTTTAGCATGCCTTGCCATAGCTTATTTTAATAAAACTAGAGCAGTTGAACTGAACAGCACCAGGTTGGCCTTCCAATTGTTTTTCATCTCCATGACAACAGGCCTACAACTGGTAAGCACAGAGTGTAGTATACAAAGATAATGGTAACCTAGTACTTACAAGTAATAATTATACAACACTGCATGTTTAATCTGTGAATATTGACCCGAGTCCACAAGGGTAATATATACACTGTGTTTAATCATCCAGTCCAATTCAGAAGCAAAGCTTTGTGATAATGAATGATAACAAAATGGGAAAATAACACCAAAAATAACTGAAACACTTGTGCATCCACAAAATATGAAATGCAACTAGGCAAATTAACAACAATAATAACTGTGATATTGTATTTCACAGAGTACATAGACTCAGAGATAGCATGTCATTTTGGGGTTTGGATACAATTTAATTACAGACACACGTTTTTGTCGGCAATTGATAAACTAGTTTTTCAAGGGCCACTGCAAGGTAGGTGAAGTATAAATTACTACTGCATGTTTGTTCAATGACGCTAGGCTATCAGTTGCTCCACAACATCTGTTGATCACGTCACCACTGATTGAACTAATTTTTTTCTTATTCTTGCTTCTGAAGGATTATTTGGAGAAGGGGCAGTACAGACGTACATGTAGTCCGACATTGACCAATAATACACTGATCGTGTAATCCTGCAGATCAACTGAATACACCAACACTGACATAAGGCATGGTTTTTTTAAAGAGTCCAGGATGTGAATATTACTGAAGAACATATTTTGTGCTACTTTCTATTCCTCTTAAATGTCCATAAAGAAATACTATCAGACATCGCTTGTTTACCGTCATGAAAAAGGACACTCCTTTTTAAAGATTTAACATTTTCTATACTTTCCCATTCAAAAGTGGATACTGTTGCAGTGATGGTCAGTGGGGGTGTGGTTCTGTGGAAATAGTAAATCTCAAATTCGCTGAGAACATTCGAAAAAAAATTTGCATACTGGCCTGAAACAATTACTCACCAAAGTAAATGCTGGCAAATTTTTGCTATTTTCACATTTTTGTGTAAAATGGCAGAAAAACTTTGGTTTTTGCAGTGGATGGCATCAGACTTTTGCTTACATGCAAATTTGCACGAGCACAGAAGTAAAACATGTGCAAAAATGCCCTTAAAATGGCACAAAAGAAACGAAAATCACATTGAATTGGACATTAAAAATACTTAAATTGCATTGGCAGTTGGGTTCTTTAATCTAGCCACCGTTCAAAGTTTTTAAACCATAACGGAGGAAAGAAAAGTGTGTTTTGCAAAGTATGTACATGTAAGAGCCTCATGTAGGCCCTAATGTAAGGCTTACAACCTACCATCGCTGTGCTTGAATCCGACTTGAGCCAGGATTTGATCCACAGTAAGACGGTTTTTCTTGAGCCCGTAGGTACTAAGCCATTTCTTGGTGGAGATCAGAGCTCTTACATCAGGCTCCCAAGTTTTCTTGGCAGGAGGTCTCAGTTTAATAACTGATGCTATGTCGTCTTTGCTGACATCAGGTGGAGGATTGTTGTTTTTACGTCTTGGTCCAAGGTCAAATTTTGGGTCTGTAGATTAAAACAAAATCAATGCAAGATACATGTAAGAATACAGCCAGAAAAGAATATGATATTACTTGCATAATACAACTCTTTTTAATATGGTTACACTCTTTTTAATATGGTTACATGTACATTTAGCAGATCCCCTCTTGAACATTTGTCTAATACATATTAGTAATGACTTCATATTTATAAAACTCTTGAAAGAAAGGAAGCATCATTCTGACTTACTTGTGACCCACCACTGCAAAACCAGGCTGAAGGATTATAAGTTATCATGTGAAAAATGGCATCAATATACACAAATACCACAACTTTCTTTGCATATAAATCCCTAAGCTTCAAGAACACAAATTAGTTTAGATGACTTTGAAGAATGAAAATTAACACTGGAGAAGAAGAATTTATAATATCAAAATTATCTGGATAAGGACATGTATACTGTATGTGTATATATGTACTTGGTCGACTTCAGCTTTTGTTGTGGAAAGGTGGATAATATTTGTACAATAGAACCTTAATTACGCCTATGGTACAAAACATTGAAAAATGAACAGGATGTTTAGAAGGAGAAGCATTTCAAATTTTGTGAGAATTAAAATTAAAATGGTGGCTGACAAATGTCCATGACTGTACAGTTGCCAGGTTCCTTACTTCACCACTTACTGTGAAAACCAATTTGACCTGACGATAAGTGGCAAAATTAGGGACCTGACGACTATACCATAATGGACGTTAGGGCCTAGGGTTATCCTTCATCACATGTATCATGTGTGTGTTCTTTCCAACTGCTAAGTCTTTCAACTAATTCTATGAAAGGGCACATTGGCAAAATACATGTACACGTCACAAAAAGGATTTCCTAGAACCTATTTCAAAGTGCACAATTTTAATTTTCAGACCTTACCATAAATTCAACATGTTCAACATGTTCAAACGGGCTGGAATTTACGACACGGCTAGAATTTTAGCGGGCCATGAGGCCTAATGCACATTCAACGTACGACGAAGTAGACGTTATAAAAATGTACACTCACTTTCCATCTCTGACGAATAACGCACATTTTCAGTGTTTATCTCATACATGGTAAGCACCGGATGTTACGGCAAGAACTGCCATTCGCAAGTCGCATGTAAACACTTGCTTGAGTACAAGACCAAAAGAGAAGGAGGTGGTTGGAGCAGACGATCTGAACCGGCGTTTTTCCAGACTTCTAACTCGCGAGTTTCTTGCGTTAACACCAGCAAACAGGAAAACCCACCGCTGTTCCTCAATTAAAATGTCCTCTGCTACAAGTCCTCTGCTACATGTAAGAAAATCCTCCAGTATGCAAAGCATTCGTTGGAAAAGCTTCACATCTCCAGATGGTAAAGCTTCCAATTCAGTCACCGCTGTAATGGCTGTTGTCATGCGCGAGATAGTTGCCTAGGTCTGGGTACACAAATTCGGCCAATCAATCAAAGGTTAAATGACATCCTCGTCCAGTATTGTGCAAAAACAGCATATTCATACCGACCGCACACATTTCTTGCGAAAGATATTTTAAATACAAAACTAAGACATTCGAGTATCTAGTTGAAACGATAAATTATTACTTTTTATTTTTTTTCAGTAATGTTGGTTCATGAAATATACGATAAACGAGCAAACAAACCAACACCACAACCGGCTGTTGATTTTCCAGCGGGTAAAACCAAAAGCAGGTGTATCGGGGGCATGGGCACTGTTGGATATCTCAGATGAGCAATAACAGATACATTAAATTTTGAAATATTCATCAGTACAAATTAATAGAGACAGGTAAACAAACTTCTGAATCAATGTGGGAAGGGTACTTTAATTGATAAGTCGCTGAATAAAATTTAACTTGCAAATACTAACTCCATGTGGGCGGAGCTTGTCTGGAATGTTGGAATGTCTCCCTCTCGTTTATGCATCACCTATTACTTCAAACCAAACTACGTCTAAATGAAATCGACAGCTCCTGTTTTATTTGTTACCTGCTTCATGTTATTCAATTTTTTTATTTTTTTCTTCATGTCTCATCTATAATCTCAAATTAGATGATCAAACAATATCAACTGTTTTTGCCGAAGACAAAAGGATGGAAGAAAAGCAGAGAGAATGGGGGGCCACCATATAACACATTCAGGGCTTGGTGTACTTAATATGCTTATTTACAACCCTGAACCATACATCAAAGCAGCATACATATTTTTCTCTCTTTTTCAGTGATAATGAATACATTTTGGTTGTTAGGAAGTCCAAAAATTCTTCGAAATCTGTCTTAGTGTTTTTCTTACCACGAAATGGAGTGCAGGGGGCTGATTCAACAGCTCATTTCCCCTTGTCAAAAAGTAAGAGATTATGTACCCCTCAAAACACCTGGGATTTACACCCTTGTGGGTCAAAGGTATTTCATAAAGAAACAAAGCCAACCTTTTCAGGTTGATTTATAACAAAGGCTGGACATTTTATTGCTTTCAGTACATAAAATGTTGCCATATAACCTAAGGTTTTTAAGTTCAAAACATTACAAAACATCTTTGGTACCGATATATAAAGTATAAAAAAGCAAAAAAAGTTCAACGAGTACAAAGTTAAAGAGAATCCAAATTTACCTTTAAGCACAAATGTGCATCAACATGGGAAAACAATAATTTAAAACATCTGACAATGTACCAGTACTAACTCTTGGAAACAAAACATCCTGAGATTATTTGCACTTTTAAGTTTAATCAAATAGCCTGCAATTTTTAATCAATACAAACTTCAAGAAACTTGTTATATGTTAGCTTTGTCAATTTTTTGTTTCAAAGGAAATAACTGAACAAAATTAATACGAATTTCACGACTGAACTGAGTAGATTGTCACTACTTTGTATGAAGAACTGTAAAAATATACTTTGTTAAAACCAGTCTCAGGCATATTTATTGCAGACATTGATATGTAAGATATGCATCATGGGGAAATTAATTCATGTCTGCCAGCATTCACATAATCTTCACAGATGACAGGCATCAAACCATCAACCTTTATCACAGCATTCATTTTCGTAGATCATGGTTGTATGTTAGTGGATGAATGAAATAAACCTTCATTACAGCTGTTCTTCCACTGTGAACTGTTGTTGAAAGTCTTTCAGGACAAAAAATTGCTATCTCTCAATTTGATATTACATTTAAAACAACTGTACTTTCTTTTCACACTGTCAAAACCAACCCAATCCCATCACACACACACACACACACAAATATTTGACTGAAGCACTGTTGCTAAGGCTGTGCATGCATCATCAAAGTACCAGTTGCAGGTATCGTGTACTTGTACATTTTGGATGAATCCCTGAGGCCTATATCACTGTGGGATAGAATATCCCGCAGTCTGTAACTGGAGAGTGTCTTGAGACCCAGCTGATGGAGAGACAAGGATACCATCTGAGGTGCCAAGTACCGGTTGAGGATCACAACCGCCCATTCTTGCCACCGAGAGAGTGGTTTAACCCACACATCAACTCTGTCACTAAACTGTGGGAGGAAGATAAAGAACTAACTCATTCTAAACAGTGATTGTTTTGGGTGGTTGGACTTAGCACCTTAAACAACGCCAAGGCTATTTTGGACCTAAGAATGACACCTTAACATCACTGATTGGTGTATCCTTCAACTTCTCAAAAATACAGGCATCAAAGTAATCACAGCATTAGATCATGTGAAGGAGTGATGCAAGGTCCAAATGTCCTTGTAAACAGAATTTGAGCAAGATATTTCATATGATTCAGGTTTTAAATGGTTATGCCATTTATATGACAGGACTATCTGAAACCAAATGTCAGGGATTTGTCATCATTGTCCATGCAGTTTACCTGAAGCACAAGTCTTCCCATGATGCCAAGGGGGTCCTGATTAACAGCAATGACCTCTTTGTTTAGCAGGATGTTGCTGCGAGGGGTGGAGATATTCCTTAGGTCATTAGCCATGAGAAGAGGAGCAGCCAAAATGGCCCACATAGCAAACTGTGCCTGGGCCTGATCAACTGTCAAGCCACTATCTCCTACAACAAGCTGGGCAGGAAATGACCAAAGAGACAGAGTTATTCCTCTCTAAATTTCAGTCAGAATACAAGCAGTGTAAAGCAGGATTGAAAGGGCAAATTTATCCTCTCCATTTCCCTTACAAGCATTTACTCTGCACTACCCATGTAATTTATTTATGGCAGTGACTCCCCCCCCACAAAATAAACTACATATAATTATGCCCCCAGGACAAAGCATTTATCTCATTACCATTCTTATTTCCTGTAGCCCCTCAGTTCAGTTGCACACCCAGCATTGTAGCACATGATGCTCAAGCAGCCCCTCCCCCTAAGTTGCACCACAGGGGACTGGAGTTTATGGCTATATCAGAGCTAGCAGTTTAAGATGGACATGTTCTTTTTACAGAAAGGAAAAACTCTTTGGGCTTAGACCTCCGAGCCCTCCCCCCCCACACACAGAGTTATTTGCTGTATTCATCATTTCTGTCTCTCTCTGTTTTCAGATTCTTTGCAACCTTTCTCTAAAAGACCCCCTTTTAGATTGTTTTGGAGGTCAATCCCCAAAGACTTTTTTCCCTTTGTCCAGAGTAGGCATACCATATGTCCATGTGACACAAGCAAGCTACTTCTACCGATGCAATGACTACCCTTTTACCATTGACAAGGTGAAGTTCCGAGTACCTACCATGTCTGGGTCATTAAAATGGCCAGGTCCAGCGGCCGCTATCAAGGTGTCTTGATTGAGTGCGTAGTAGTCTACTATCATCAGGATAGAAGACCACTTCTCATGAACATCCCAGAAGTTTCTCCACGTGTTGCAGTATTCAGCTATCAAGGTATAGTTTATCTGCAGTGTATAGAATCTTTCATTCTTCCTTTCTTTAGTTTCTGACTTTTTAAATCAGGGTAGCCAATGACAACATGGGGCACTTTTACCAAAACAACCAAATGAAAAATAAAGAAATAAACAACACTCTAGCTATATGCATTATCTGATCATTATCTGTAGTCTTTGCATGTACTCCAGGCAAATGCACGGGCAAATTTGGAAAACTTCCCACCAAACTGTCTCTCATTTGCTGGTGAAGATGCACTTAATTAGGGGAGGATAAAGAGAAGCAATTTTCTGTGCTTTACAACTTACTTTCATGCCATAATGGCGCAATACAAAAGGCCATTTACAGTCGAATAGAATTGGCCGTCCTGTAGCATTTAGGGCATTGGACATCTCTGGATAACCTGGAAAAGGTGATACAAAAATTGTTTTAATATTACAAGATAGACGTCTTGATCAACAAGAAAAATGCACTGTTTTTCTGAACTATTTTGACAAGCAGAATTTAACCTTTACTATATGTTGTCACATTGGAGCTGCAGCTGTCAAATTTGAGCATATCTACTCCCCAGTCAGCGAAGGTCTGTGCATCTAGCTCAAAATGCCCCCAGCTGCCAGGAAAACCTGAACAAGTCTTGGTGCCATAGTCTCCATAAATGCCAAACTTCAGACCTTGACTATGAATCTGAGAGAAAAAGAAACATGTTCAACATGTGAAAAGAAATAAATGCAATAAATTATGCTAGAGTTCAATATTTGAAGAATGATCAACTGAAAGCCTTGTCTCCAGTGCAACACCTGAAATGTATTTCAGAGGTCTTGGGTTAAAGACCTGATTCAGTCAAATCTCTTCTTCTTGATCTCAATAGCTGTAATTAGCATTATGGGATGCACTGCATGGAATTTGTTTAATGGCCCTTTGAGTCTTTGGTTTACTGACCAGAGAAAGTTGTGAACAAAATTTTTGAAGCAGTTCCTTCAAACCTGTTTTGATAAGATACAACAGCATTTGAAATCCTGAGATTTTGGTCTACTGCTGATTTCAAACTTACATAGTCAGAAAGTGCCTTCATTCCACTGGGGAAGCGATCAGGGTCTCCCTGCAATCTCCCCTGTGAATCACGCTGTCTAGCACTCCAGCAATCATCAAGATTGACATACTCATAACCAGCATCCTTGTAGCCATCTGCTGCCATGCGGTCTGCCATTTCCATCATCAAGTTCTCACTGAAACAAAATCATTTCACAAAATATTACAAAAATTGATGCAGGATATTGAAGATACATGAAAAAAGTGTTTTTCTAGCGTGAGGATTTGATGTCTATTCATATTTTGATTCACACTCAAACCTTTGAAAACTAAACAGAAAAACAAAAGTCACAGGATAAAGAAATCACACCTTTCCTCTGTAGGTAAAGCAACTGTAGAAGATACGTAAGAAGATATGATACATTGCAAACTTGGTTTGATACATGTGTGCTTTGCAATCATTAGTTGTAAATCTGTAAATATTACCTGACACAATTCTTGGGGTTCGTTTTACAGTTTGTGTTGCATTTGAAGTGTTCCCATGTAAGCCAACCCATTGGAGGTGTCCTGGCTAAGCCATTATCCAGGGCTTCAAGGGTGAGACAAAACACTCCAAGAAGATACACCACTACTGCTAGCTTGCCCGACATACTGAGAATGATCATCATGAAAACAGGAAATGACAAAAGGTAGGCTGTGGCTCTGTGACGCACATTGGATCTTTATGTCATTTGCAATGACATTTTAACTCCAATTCCTGACAATGACTGAAAAAACTTTGTGGTTTAGTGGATTATCTGTACTGCCATTGCCTATAGAGGTTGTGCATGGCAGGCATCTTTCTGACAGTAACTGCTTCAGTTACAGCGAAAAAGGTCTACTCATGGAACAATGGTTGCCATGCATAACTTCTATTGAGTGCAAGGTCTTTGAATAAGTTCCTTGTGGTGAATTTTTTTCAACGACACGAAATTCACCACTTTCTGGAAACTCATGGCTTTGGGAGAGAAACAATTCCCAGTAACTGATACATGCACACTGTTTTTGCCATGCAGTTAGGTAGCCTAGCAACATCAGAGACAGGTGGGGGCTTTAACAAGGGCTTCAAAGGTAAAATTTGCAAGGTAAAATGTTCAAATTAATGACTTTCCTGAGCAGCAATTTTTCTTCCCCTTTTCATTAAGGTTTGTCCAAATCATACATGGCATACATGGATGTCACTCATTTAATCAATTCAAGCATCATCGTCACATCCCCTACTACCCCTAGAAATATATGGGCATGTAGGAACCTATAAATCACATTTTTAAGAGTTTGGAGGCCGACATGATTGAGCAGCAAAAAATTGTACACAAAACACTGGGGAACAGCAGCTTGAACAAGAATACAATTATGGCTCTAGATGATAATTAATAGTTTTCTCTAAGGAAAGTAATGTCCGACATTTCATCAACAATAAATGCTTCCAAGAAACTCAAAGATTAGTCTCCTATAAAGAACAATTTGCTCATAGGAAAGTACATGGTGCCTATCCCCCAACAGTTGTTTTAAACTGTATTAATAAAAAAGAAGTCACTGGACGATTGGGTGCTAGTAATACTCGGACTAGCCCCACTAGTGTGGCACGGACTCTCACTGACTCCCGATCGGGAGTGATCCGTGCCACACTAGTGGGGCTATACTCGGACTAGCATGACTAGTGCAAAAACTGGTATAGATTTGATTTATTCTTCCACGCTATCAGAACCAAAATACATACAATTGTCTGTAATCAAGACCGTAAAATAACTTGGAAAATGGAAGATACTGTAATGTTTGAGCAAGTACGGTCGGGTACTAGGCCTACAGTTCAAACACGGAGGAATAAGAACCAAAACATCATACATGTTGACCACAAGCCGTGCGGTTACTGCAGTTTTTTCCATTTGTGAATCAGGAAATTTTCCCAAAAGCCGACCTTACCTCTTTAGAACGTTCAGGAATCGGGTACCACAACCGCAAAGGCATTCAACATGTGGAATACAGGCCTACTCGCTCGACTGCATGCTACCGTAGCATTGGTACTACTGACTACAACCGGGGAATGTGCAGATCTGCTGCCTCGTCATGTGATTGATCACATGATATGAATTCCCGGGCACGTGACCTTTAAAACAACAAAATTAAATCGTGGACCTGGCTGGATATATTACGTTGATTGATCGTTATCACCATGTCACGAGTGGATCGTATTACTGTTACTTTTCATTGTCATATCAATTTGCATTTCACGCAGATGACGGTCTGTGGGCTACTTGACAAGTCAAGGGTAAGAAAACTATAATTATAAACCTTAAAAGGGGAATTTTACTCATGTTATTGCAACTTCGAAAGCTCCACGTAGCAACCCTAGTCTACAAATTTGTTGGAACATGGTTGGGCAGGGACTAACAGTTATAGGTTATTTTTATACACTGGCAAGCAAAATGAAGCTATCACATACCTTCACACATAAGATACTGTGTTTGGAGAGCTTGATACTTATACATATAGTTTTGCTTCAATTAAACATGCGTGAAAGACACAGTGACATTCAGGGTGCTTTTAATTTCAGTAAAATTACTAATGTTTTAAAAATTTTCAATCAGGCCTAGGTGCACAAAGCATGGTTGTTTGGTACCTTACAGTACTACAGGTATGCCTTTCATAAATTTCCCCTCGAACAACATTTTGTTTTATCCCCTTATCTTCAGATTTATAGTAATGTTGGGAGTCACCCTGTTAGTACTCTGTGCTGTGAGCACGCAGGCATTGGACAATGGTCTGGCAAGGACGCCCCCTATGGGCTGGCTCATCTGGGAACGATTCCGCTGCAATACCGACTGCAAAAGATATCCTAATGACTGTGTCAGGTATGTCATTCCTTATCTCTTTTCCTAGGGATGTGTCATGCTTTTCCTTTTATATGACATTCATTTTTCAGTTTTTCTGACATCCATACATCCATGTTCATCACACTTCATTTCATTCGTGATATTGAATTGGTTCAGTGTTTTATTTGGGTAAAACCTGCCAAACTGCTCTTTATTTATGAAATGCAAGCAAATCTGCATGGTTATAATGCAGTAGGCCCATAGCTACATTCAAATTATTTATAAATATTACAAAAGTATAACATACGGGGAGAAAAAAAATAATGTCTATCCAAACGTCATGCTGAAAACAGTTCACGTACGACTGAAAATAAGCCACACTCTGTGCAAAGGTTTATAGCGTTGGTTAAGCCCTACTGATGAAAAAGTTAATATAGAGTTGTTCACCAATAGTGCCAGCCTGGAGAAACAGATTAAAGGTGAATAGATAAGGCAAGAGGTGTGCTTGAGGCTTGCCTACACTGAGGGGAATAGAATTGGTTGTCAGTGTCAACAAACCTTTATCCCTAAATCTGCAGACAGCAAGGATTATTAGCATGACCCTTGTGCCTGTAGTGGGCATTTGTTATCCAGATTAGCACTGAAATTTATTGTCTACTTGAACAGTGAGGATACCAAAGTGCAGTGTGAAACATTTGTGTACCAAAGGTTTAAAGCCTGTTTTAAGCTTTTTTGAAGGAAAGAAAATTGCATCTGTGATGGAACTGCCAATGGGAATCAAAACGTACAGAAATGAAAATGATATAAATAATGTGATATCTAAAGCAATTACAAAGGAGAAGTTATTTTGAACCAATTAATATTCAATGAATGCTCTGTTCCAGTTGAAAAAGGTTGTTCAGGAAGAAGCTTCATATCAAAGAATATAAAACAAGGAATAAAAAAAAACAATAATATCATGATTGCATTGATATTGTTCACTTGCAAATCATCAGTGAGAAACTGGTGAAGGAAATGGCAGACCGGATGGTTGAAGATGGATACAAAGATGTTGGGTATGAGTACGTCAATCTGGATGATTGCTGGAGCGCTAAAGAACGTGACACTCAGGGACGACTGCAAGCTGATCCTGAACGGTTTCCAAGCGGCATCAAAGCACTGGCTGATTATGTAAATTTACACTATTCCAATTTAAATACTGCATTTTAACACAAGTTTACATTCCTAATGTCCTTCTGTAAATTTAAAAAATTCAGTTTCTTCTTAAGGAGTCTTCTGTGTCTTCCTAAATATTTTCCATTATTGTCACTTTAGAATTGTGCACTTAAACACTACTTAATGTGACCAGCTAAAAACTCAAACACCACAATAATACTTCAAACATTTGAAACTGTGCTTTTGCAACACTTCTGAGAGACAGGCCGCTCATTCCTTTGGCAAAAATAGAAACTCAACTGATTTGACTTAGTTTTAATGCAATTTTAACTTGGAAACAGATTCATAGCAGGGGATTAAAGATGGGCATCTATGCTGACTATGGTACCAAGACCTGTGCAGGTTACCCAGGGAGCTTAGGCCATCTGGAAACTGATGCCCAGACATTTGCAGAATGGGGCATTGATATGCTGAAACTGGACGGATGTAACTCTAATGTCACTACTATGAAGAAAGGTATAGGCCTTAAAAGACTAAAATAGATGTACATACTACTGAAACAGTATATTTTTTAACCTGGCAATTGAACGCGGACAAAATTGTACATAATAGCTCAGTATCCTAGTTACAATGCAATATAGTTCACCAAATGGTTGGTTTCAAAAGTTGCTGTCCCTGAGTCTGCGTGTAATTTTTGCCACTACCAATAGTTCAAATAAGAGTTGTGCTGAATGTTTCCCTGGAGTGCAAACTCACAAATCAACAGGATTGGGCAATCTAATGTTAACATCATGCAACATACTATATCTCATGTCTGAGTTATTTTAGACAATTTCACAATTTTCCGTTTCTTTTTCTGGACCAGGCTATCCTGAGATGACTAGGTACCTGAATGCTACAGGCAGACCTATCCTATTTTCCTGTAGTTGGCCTGACTATGAACGAGCTGCTGGAATACCTGTAAGAACTGCCTCCACTCCATTATTAAAGAAAGAAATGGACTAGGTCCAAGAGAAGCTTCAAACTTCTGAAAAGAAATTTGCTGTCACCCTTCTAAATACTCTTTTCCAAATGTTTTTTGGCTTTTAAGTTAAGTTACAGACTATGAAAGAAAGGAATGAGAAAGTGAATGAATTCTTAGCTGTAGTCTAAATCTGATCGATTTATGAATCTGTATAACTGGCAGACTTCAACAGTCTAAAGCCCTGTCCTTTTAAGTTTTTCTTTGTATGTGCTTCCTTCATTTGTCAGCTTGTAGTTAATAAAAATTACTTGACCTTACTCCATTTTTAACAGATTAATTACACCCTAGTGGCAGAAAACTGTAACATCTGGCGTAACTACGATGACATCAATGACTCGTGGGGATCAATTACAGGCATTATTGATTATTACAACAAGACTCAGGACACACTCATACCAGCTGCTGGTCCAGGACACTTCAATGATCCAGACATGGTGGGTGTCTCAGTCCCTCCTCAAACAGTAATAAAACTGATTAGGAGCACATTGGATTGTGACAAGAACATCTCAGAATTAGAGTGGAATTACAACCAGCCTTTGGCAAGGATGGCATTAACCTTTCAACTTTTCTTTGGATCATTAGTGGCCTTTATATAAATGATGGAAAAAAGACAATTTAGAATGAATTTTAAAATGAGTCATAACCCATGGACAGCTGTCACTTGCTGGCACCCTCCCTTCCAATTCCAATGGGAAGGAGCAATCCACAGGTGAGCTGATATGGAAATGTTGCTTTGATTCCTCGTGTTTTCCTGATTCAGTTTGATTGTTAAATAAAAACATATGATTCCATACTCAAAACAACAGTTTTTATTTTTTGATAATGTTGTTTTTGTTTTTTTCAGATTGTTGTTGGGGATCAAGGAATCAATGAGAACCAAGCCAATGCCCAGATGGCCATGTGGTCCATCTTTGCTGCTCCTCTTCTCATGTCTAATGACCTGCGCAACATCCAGCCAGTTTTCCGTAACATTTTGCAGAACAAGGAGGTGATCAGAATCAACCAGGACCCACTGGGAAAGATGGGACGAAGGGTACTGACGGTAGGTTCAACCATCTCCTTCACTTCTTAGGGTGGGGGTCAATGAACTAATAATTCTGTAAAAGAAGTGGTCAAAGAATCACCACTCTTATACAGCAGATCAATTCAACATTGTGTACCAGCAAACCTTCTCTCAGAACTAATTGAACTACATGCATATCAGTCGTGCTTGAATGAATAAGTTTAGGTCACTGCATGATCAACTAGAACTCTCATCACTCAGCTTAGGAGGTAATGGAGTGAAGAAGTTACAGAGATTTAAGTGGGTCACTCTCTTGTGCTCTATCTCTTGTCATAGTTGGGGCCAAAGGTGGATATTTGGCTGAAACACCTGAATGCATGGGAGACATATGGAATTGTATTCCTCAATCAAGATATCAAAGCCAGAACAGTCACCCTAAGGCTCGAACAGCTGGGACTGACCTATGGTCATGGGTACCAGCTGAGGGACATCCTGAATCACAAGTTCATAGGATACTGGACACCGCACGAATCTCATAACTACACAATGCCGGCCACCGGAGTGCTGATGATCTATGCCTATGGCAATGAATAGAAAAGAATAAGAAAGAACAGGTTTTGTTACTCATTCACTAATCATAATAAGGTGCACTGTTAGGAATGCAACTCATGCATGCCAAAGGCTATCAGGATTCGATGTACTCCCATTCTTGCAATAAAAGCAGACCTGAAAAAAGTTGTACAAAGCCTCAGCCATATACCGCCTAGTGTACCCCAGCTTTGCTGAAAACCATTCCATGCCTGTCTGCATCATACCCTGATAACATCCACACCTGAAATTCCTGCTTATGTTTACTTGTGCTACACATTCACAGTTGCAACACAACTTCATCAATCATCACTGTTGACTTAATATTGTATCACCACACCAAATTATCAAAGCTCACTGGAAAATATAGTTTTAGCTAGATGTTCGATCATATTGAATCAACTCATCACCACATACTTCCACGCAGTTTACTTAGTATAATGGCACCACCCAAAAGCAGGTTATCAAATGTCCAATGATATGGTAACTGTATAACACAATACAACGATCATTTCTCACAAGAAATGACATTTCCAGGACCCCTTCCCTTTTTTCCCACATAGCGTGGCCCGGGGATAGAGGTCTGGCTACGGCCTCTCTACTTTTGGGATGAATGGGGCTTGGTTCTCTACAACAGTGCAGCCAAGTCAGCAACCATCCAAATGTCTCTGAAAGAGATAGGATTCACATATGCCTTGGGATATGAGCTACGAGAGATTTTGACCCATGTTGAGGTTGGCCATCGTGAGATTTACCCAGTTTATAACTACACTGTACCCTCCGCCGGTGTCCTCATGTATTATGCATACCCCAGTGAATTAACAGATAAACAGTTATGATTTGAGGAGCTGACGGAAACTATTAACCATTGAGCTAGAAAGTCATTGTGCATTTTGTTGCTGATGAATCAAGCTCAGAATAACACAACAAAACGAAAATCCTTGTTAAAATGATAGATTTTTTTGTTTAAGTGGCGAATGCTGAAAAACATATTCTGGGAAAGAAAGCTTCAAGTGGCTTGTAGTCTGACATTTGAAAGATATCTATTCTTTATAAGATGTGCCAAATGATGTATCGTGTTTTAGATAATTATGTATCGTGTAACTCAATTGAACAGTTCCAAATTTATTGCAATATGTAAAGAGCTACTACATCATTATAGATAATGTAGTAATGAATTTTAATTTGGATAAGCATTAGAATGATTCCCCTACATTCCATAATAGAACTTTCAGAAACTGTATATTCAAAAGATAAATGACAGTATTTTGAGAAAGCCAAAGAAAATATCATGAAGACCAAAGAAGACATGCTTTTTAAAATAAATTTGATAATATTTGTAGTATTATTACTGGTCATTGTTATTATTACAGGCAGTCTTTTCAAATACAATTACCCAGTTACACTTTTTTATGTTTGTAATTTTCTGTTTCCTCTTACAACAAAACAAAATAAAAATTTTAATCAAGTACATGTATTCCATTTTGAGACATACTGGTCAGGTTATACACTATCTGTTTTTCTCTCCATCTCTCTCTCAGGTGTTGTGATAGTCGTAATTGATATGTCTTGCACTTTACAGTGGAAATAACATTCCTCATACACTGCTTTTATTCATCAGTACACTGATCTTGACTGTAGTTCTAGAGTGAACCAAAGAATGACAATCTCAACCCGCAACTTCAACAAATACATGTAATGAATTGGTACCAATCCTATCTTGCCTCGCTGAAAGTCTCATTGTCTTTCAGTTGGTTAATAAGGGAATAAATATGTGCTTGTCTATCGTTTAAGACCAGCTCAGAAGAAAGGACACGACTAATATCTGAGCTGCAAGCAAGGGCATTTTCAGCATTCAGTCTTGCACGCAGATTAATTATTGCCACTGGGTTCGGTAGACAACTAGGAGGTTGGTGGAAAGCCAAAGCCAAGTAGTTGATAGAGGAAATGAGACATAAACATGAACATCATTCACGCTGTCCAAAACAGTGCACATAGAATCATGAACTAATTCATAATTAATATAAGCAGGAATTCAAGCAGTGTGTTAACAGCACAATATCATAAACTTAGTTACCATGTGGATTTGCACAAGAACTTCTCGGACCTTTTATTAAAAAGAAAGTGGAGTAGCATTGACTGGCACTCCATACTCATTTATGTTTCACATAATTTTTTCAGTTGATATGCCTTTTGCCAAAACCACGTTTCATTAGTTAACTTATCTCTGGTACCCTTGTCATCTTTGCTAACAGTTTGGATCCCTAGTTGATGTTTGGCACCGGCCTCTTCAGCAATACCAGGAGTGGGCCGTTGTCATTCTCAACAGGGATGCTAAGCCCCAAACAGTGTCCTTCAAGTTCAGTCAACTTGGCTTCACGGCCTGGGGGTACGAGATACGAGAGGTGCTGACCCACAAGGAACTCGGTCACTATGGGATTAATTTGCCCTGTAACTTCACAGCACCAGCCAGAGGAGCAACTATGCTTTATGCCTACACTAGTTCATAAAAACATGTTCACTACAACTACCACTGATCTTTACAAGAAGCAATGAATGGGAAAAATTGGTAAACAGTTTTCTCTGAAAAAATTCCTATGAAAACCACAAACTGGTCTGGAGACTGAACCACGTAAAACAGTGATTCTGTAGGATGGGATTTTGAATACAAGTTGTCAAGACATCTAATCATGCATCTCAATTTGTAACGTGTACAGAATATACAGGTAAAATTTTGAACACATAATCCTTTGAAGCAATCAGTCCTTTTCTGCATGGTATTTGCATTTTACTTACCTTATTTGATTATCCCACAGTATAACTCCACTGTTCAAATATGGGTTCGGACGTTGGCAGGTCCTCAGGAGTATGCCTTGGTGTTTTTGAATGAAGCCACACAGCTCTGCAAAGTCACTGTCTCACTACGCCAACTTGGTTTTACCTATCTCCCAGGGTTCGAGTTTGAAGATGCATTTGATAATGGTCGGTTTGTTGGTGTCTTCAATACAGACCTGATGTACAATTACACAATACCTGCCATAGGGGCATTGATGTACCATTTATATTTTAGTAGCTGAAGTCTGGGCAATGCTGGACAATTTTAAAATGGCAACATGGCCATATGTCATAAGAGGTTAACAGTAATTGCAAACTATGTGACTGGAAAGGTACACATTTCTTAGATATATGTATGAACAAAATATTACAAGATTACAAGAAATTATGCAGTCACATTTTCAGGATATCTTTATAGAATTCAGATATTTTTTCAATGATATAAATTTGTATACAAAGCATTGGCCCTTAATCTAATTAACAAGAGAAAGTCAACTAAGAGTGAGTTATGTAAATTATTATGGCTGATTTCTGTGGCTAATTTTGAATTATAACAAAAATGACGTCCATTTAACAACTAATTCAAACCATCTTGACAATGCATTCTATGACGAGATTGAATGATTAAATCAGTAAAATGGATGACAAAAAAAGAATCTGGTTTTTTTTTCGTTCACAGAGTGAGATGAAACTGACGATAAATAGGACAAATAAGTGTGGTTTTTTTCGTGATTTACAATGCTCTAAAAGTGAAATCTAATTATTTCGGAATTGTTATCAACAGTTAGGGCGGGTGACCCTCTTTGACGAAATTAAACTTTCATTTAAGCAATTTTAAATGAGAGAAGTGCAAAATTGACCAGGAAAAGCTATACTTAAAAATTTCATAACAGCATAAACCTTTTCAATTAAATGTACGACTCTCCGGTGAACAATATATTTTAACCAACACCTAATATTTTTGTGGTTAATAAATGTAAACTATATTTTGGAGCAGTGCATTTCTATTGAGTTACTGTAATTGTGATTGTGCAAAAGAGCACATTACATTTTATTGAATTGCATCTGTATGTCATTGATGCCAAATAGTGACAGCAAAAAAATTCTAAAGATGATTAAAAAAAAATTCCAAATATTTTGAAAATGACTACATTCTTCTTAATAGATAACTTTAACAAACGAAGCTGCCAGAGATCATTGTCGGGGCAAAAAAATGATTTCCAAAAACATCTATTGAATGGCATTTACTCTTTATTCTTATCATACAAAAGGCATATACATGTACTGTAATGGCAATGAATGTGTCACTACATCATTTTACATGGTGCCATTATGAATTTGCAAATGGCAAATTTAATGAATGTACCTGACACATACATGCCCTTCCCCTTTCTTTCAGCAGAAAGGGACTCCAGAATGCTTGGGACTCCAGAATGCTCGCTGAAGAGAATTCAATTGTTCTTCTTACGGGGAGGGAGGTATTGTATGACCAAAATGTCAGAATAGTAATGGTTCCTCCAATTTACGGAGTTAATCTTATTATCTCAGCAAAACTAGGATCAACATTTAAGGTAAAAAAATCGAATGGTTTGAACCTTCCCAATGGTGTATTGTCCCATAATTCCATTAAGTCATATCCCTCACTCCTGTGCAGTCCTAATGTGTCCAGGGTGGTGTTGAACCGGACTGGTTGACGGTCATTACGGCTGAGAATCACCATGGCATATGACTGGTCAACAAGAGGCCGGAGCCAGACCTCAAGGCCAATTGCCAACTGCAAGTGAAAATTAAGTAACAGCATGGGCAAGTTTGAGAAATGACTACTGTTACCTGTTAACTGTAATTTAATGAATGTCATTCAACCAACCTCACTTAAACAACGACTGATTGGACTCTCTAGTCAACCATTTGGAACCAAGCCCTATGGCACAGTTGCAAAGCTAGCTACCAATGGGAACTACAAAATTAAAACCTGACAAAAGTTAACTTGAAATTAATGATACGAGATGGCACAGGCAAAGAATGGAACTAGAGATGCAACTGATGGCAATCTCTGGGAGAGGATGACATTTCACCAAATAGTTTGACAGTCATTGTCCAAGTGATGCTTCGTTTGGTATAAGCAGTGATAGGAAGCAATGCACTGGTGGTCAAAGTTAAGTTTGTGCTTGAACTTTCCCTGTGGAACTCATAAGTCCAGGTATGAACTGAAAGAAGTGTTTTCTAATATCCTTAATCAGTGTTAATGAACACATTAATTCGCACTGTCTGGCAGGCACTGTCATTTATGTTTAAAACATAGTCTCTATAATTTTCTCTAGGAGAATTTTTAACCACAGAATAGTCAAAACACAAACAAAAGTGCTTTCATACCATGTACAATTTGAAAAGGCTTATTTGTTTTGAGATCATTTTCAAATTAAATGAATAGCTTTAGTTCTGCAAAGTGTTGGGAAATCACTTTGGACATCTTGAATCCAGCTCAAACCTTACCTTTAAGACACGCTTTCCCATGATACCTAGGGGATCCTGGTTGACCTTAATGACCTGCTTGTTTTGTAGGATGTCACGGTAACGTGGGTCGAGGGTTCGGAGATCATTAGACATGAGCAGTGGTGCAGCCATTACAGCCCACATAGCAAATTGTGCCTTGGCTTGGTAAACACTCAATGCATAGTCCCCGAGAATTAACTAGAAAGAAACAAAAAGTCGCAAGAAATTCTACAAGTTCATTTTGTGAAGTATTAAATTCTTGCACTCAAATTATGACATTTTCAACTACTTATCCCAACTCAGTGGTTTGGCAGACGTACCTCTGGAATCCAGCTTGGAAATGAAAGAGGAGAGAAATACAAACCAAGAGCAATGAAAGATGGGAAACCCTCACAATCAAAATTTCAAGCAAACTACGAAGAACGGATCAAACCAGGGTTGCAAGGATGAAAACAACAAGGCAGAATGAATTGTCTCATTGGATAGTTACGAGAGGGAAGTCTCTAACATCAATGAAACTTTGCTTCATCACAAATCGCATCTATACCTACCATATCTGGGTCATTGAAGCTACCAGGCTTGGAGACACTGGATAGTATGTCTTGATTTTCAGCATAGTAATCTATGATTTGAAGAACATAGTTCCAGGAGTCTTGTATATCAACGTAGTTCCTCCAAATGTTGCAGTATTCAGCAACCAGGGTATAATTAATCTAGGAGTACAGGTAGAAATGAAGTGAAACGAATTTTCAAATGTGACCTGTCACCACAAATTGAGCTGAAAGTCAGATTTTTCAAAAATTGAAATATTGATTTTTTGGAATTCAGCACAAAAAGAGCTTTCCAACAGTCTACACATGGAACACAAGGGTAAAAGTATATATGTAAGTTGACAATGTGACATTATTGTGGCAGCTTTGCTTTCCGACATTGTTTTAGCATTTTGACCTGGCACAAAAAAAGCTATCATCAAATTGCTGTGAAAACAACTTTTTTTTTTAATGTTTAATTGTTTATAGTTTGTGATGTTTTAAACTTTGTAAATCATGTTCAATTCAGCTGACGCTGCGAGGCATGATTATTAATAAACCAATTTGAATGAATGAATGAATGAATGAATGAATATGATCCTATTAAATATTTGGAAGTACATGGCAGATGGGTTGCTCTTTCCAAATATTAAAAAAAATTAAATTGACCTCCACTTCAATATGACTTTGAACCCTCAAAATCAGAAAGATTGGGATGCGACTTTACTCTCATTTTGTCCAGATTGGTCACAAATGGCAACTAATATCGTCTTCAAATCAGAAACAAAATTTGAAGTGCTGGCACACTGCTTGTTTTAAAAAAAGGGAGGAGCCAGACAACACCTCCCCTTGTTTAATACCTAAAGATCCACCCACTATGCAAAATTGAGAACAGCAACAATGTTATGTATGGCCACACTACTACCTTAATCCCTGCTGCACGTTCATAGTCAGGCCAACTGCAGGAGAAAAGTATGGGTCTCCCTGTTGCATTGAGGTAGGTAGACATTTGTGGATAACCTACACAGGGAATAGAAATACACAACAAATGGCAAAGTAATGACTTACATGTACATACATGAGACAGAGGAATCTAAAGATGGTGAACTTCTCTCCAGCAACCTGACCCAAGCAAGAAAATCTGGCATTGTCATTTGATTATTAGGATTTTATGAGGATTAAGTGTGCAAGACAATAAGATTAAATGACAATCATCATACTAAATAGTTTCAACAATGAAAACATCTAACCACCTTAAGTTTTTCAGTAAAATGGGATACAAAATTTTCAGTGTTTGGCCTGGAGTAATGGTTATTTATTTTGTCAAAACATAACCACACGGATATAAAATGAAAATCTCAAAAGGGACATATGTACTCGCCTTTCTTCATGGTAGTGATATTAGAGTTACATCCGTCCATTTTCAGCATGTCAACACCCCATTCTGCAAATGTCTCGGCGTCGGTTTCCAGATGGCCTAAGCTCCCTGGGTAACCTGCACAGGTCTTGGTACCGTAGTCTTCATAAATTCCAAGTTTCAATCCTTTGCTATGCATCTACAAGACAGTTATTAAAAATGATGCAAAATTAACTGATTCACTGGTTCCCTGTACATGTATCCCCAGTGCGTCGAAGCACTGAGACTTTACTTGCTGGATCACTGTTCATAATTGGTGATGACTGCATATGTGAACCAGTGCTCTCATCTTTAGACTGGTTACCATCTTTTTTTAGGAGTCTTCAGTGTAATGGAAGAACTGGTATTCAGTCCTCTTCACTGTAACTGTTGATTTTTTTAAAGCCTTATCTGTAGTTTATAGTCTTCAATCTTTAATCTTTTAGTCCATCATATCATCGATTCAAAAATACTTGCTAGTTTTGTAAAGTTGTCATCAGAACTGACTATTTGGGACTAATGATGAAATTAATCCTGTAGATACCACAAATTCAACAACCATCCAGCTTTCAACTCCCTGTGTGGTGTCAACTGCCTCAGGTATCAAAGGGAAGAAAAACCCCGAGACATCTTTCTTTTATCCACCACTGATACTGTACTCACATAATCAGCCAGTGCTTTGATGCCGCTCGGAAACCGGTCTGGATCGGCCTGCAATCGTCCCTGACCGTCACGTTCTTTAGCTGGCCAACAATCGTCAACATTAACATATTGGTATCCAACATCTTTGTAGCCATCATCTACCAAGTGATTAGCCATCGTCATCATCAGTTTTTCACTGTAAAAAGGAAGAATTAGGCCTTCAATTTAAAGAAGAATACTTTGTCACTTCACTGACCAAGGAATGCTAAAATGTCATTTGCTTAGTTTAAAATTGTTAGCTAGGACATAAAGTGAAATCCACACTGTCAAAAGAATCACTGACTTGAACAAAAAAGGAAGCAAGATTGTAAAATACAGAAAAGTAGTCGAACACTGCTTAACCACTTGCCGCTGGGGTTTCTGGTCCTGGACATGTATGCTTTACACGTGTGGCCGGGGTCTCCGAACTCGGACAAAGGGAACAGGGCCTTATAGCAAAAGACCGTACTTGTAACAAAGGACCAGGCTGCTGGGCATTACCAATAGTTTTTCACTCTCAAAAGTGGTGATAATCCAGCCTTGTTTTGAAACAGTATACCATGGTTTTGCTGATTTAGTGTGAGCAGATTACCAGCGGGGACAAAAGCATTCCACCACCGCATTGATGAGCCACGCAGTACCGCTGCAAGCTAATCTGACCCCTATCAAAAAGAGGTCAGCAAAAGAAAGTTACATAACACTGCACAATCTGGGCTCTTTTTACAAGGCTGCAGGCCTGGCTGAAATACTCGGGCATCAATAAATGTTGTCTGTCAGATTAGAGTGGCCACGAGACAGTCATACGTGTGGGTGTAAACATCCATTAATTGAAATGATGAATTTTCGAAGAATTTTGAAAACTGACAATCTTGAAAATGTTCCGTTTGTGTGCACCGGCAATAAGTGGTTAAATATTGGAGTGACCTGAAATATACAAATATAAAAATTTAAAGAGCTTGGTGATGATGTTTCAATCCTGGCAAAAAGAATGCCCTCAAGCTGTCAGAAAGCTGAATTGATCATTTTGATTGGAAATGATCAAGCTATCTTCATACCTGATAACTCAACAGATTCCCTGTTATTTTGACATCTGCATTACTATTAATACATTTGTATTACATTGGTAATACATTTGTATAACTCCTCAGGGCCAGGGCAGCTCAGTCAGTGCACACATATAAATTCAGTATAATTTGTGAATCTGTTATCATCAACGAGTCAGTTTGGTATTTCCAAAACTCAAGATCTATAAGCAATTATGACAGTACAATGTCACATCTGATCAGAGTTATATTCACCTACCTAATACAATTATCAGGATCTGCAGCACAGTTGGTATTGCAGCGGAATCGTTCCCATGTCATCCAGCCCATAGGGGGCGTCCTTCCAAGTCCATTGTCCAATGCATGAACACTTAGCACACAAATCCCCAGCAAGACTGGTAGAAACATATTTATGACTTCTGCCAACAAGAGCGCACACAATCTACAATGTTCAGATTTTGGCCAAAAACTACAAACTAAAGTGACAAAAATTAAATGTAGATGGAATTTCAAGGTGGGATGGGTGGTCAGAAGAAAGAAACATTTTGTAATGTCACTATTTTGTGTACCACGTGCCCTGTCCATTCATCGTACCTACATCAACTCAAGCCAAAAGCAACTTGTACTCTCCCATACTGTTATTATACCAATGGATATTACAAAACTATACTCAACAAAATATTTTGCAACATACTATTTGATTTACTCATTAATTACTATTTACTTGATTCACAAAAAAATCAATGTTCACACCAGAAATGTATTAATTCGTAATACTAACCCTCTAGTTCTAGGGGTACTGTGTTGGTGTGGCCAGGTTTTGCAGACATTTACAATTTCGATTACTCTCTCATTCCCAAGTTTTGCAAAAATCATAACCACAGGTATTAGGCCTATATATTAAAAGAGTGCTGGAATGCTACTAGTAAACAGGTCAAAAGCCAACAACATGCTGTCAACTAGCCTTAATGCCATAAGCCAAACATCAATCCACGCCAACAATGTTAGAAACTGAAAGAAGAGGGGCAAACCATATACCCTAATTCATAAGGTTCGCTACTATCATGGAGGAAGGAAAACAGATAAAGGTACAAGAGAATTTGGATCATTTTTGGACCCTCCTATCTGAATTTCCTCTCATGAACACAACTTCCCCTATTTAGCAATGACAACTTATGTAAGTTGAGCATGATTACCCCGGGTTGGACACTAGCCTTTATTACACTTACGACTCCACAAGTACAGTCGAGTCAGGGAGTCCGCATGGGCTAATTACTCATGATATCAGCAAATACACTTGATAAACATAAGTTTCCTTTCTTTGATCATGGTGATATTTGAAAAACCCTTCAAAACAATCGTACCGTACGCCGCGCTGGCGTTGAATGAGTGTATTTTCATACTCTATTTCAACCATGATTTGTGACCATGTTCAGTTTGACACTCATAACAAAAGTACAAACTGTTCAGAATAAATTCAATATTTTGGCTTACGAGAGCTATATTGTATACCTTGTTGCCGTAGCAAGGAGGTATGCCCGTAGTTAGCTGTGTTTTTTGTCCTCCAGGTCTTGAAACTCTTCACGTACTAAGATTTCGCGTGCAACGGACGCGTTCATCGTCATGTGACTGATCATGTGAAATTGGGCTTGTACAAAATAAAGTTTCGTTTCGTGTACAATGTGAATTTATTTACTTTGCACGCTCTGATCAAATGTGGTCACAGGCCAAAATGCAAAGGGAGTTACGTCACACAAAGTAGCTCTCAAGTTTTACATTATGGTTTATTTGAAGTACTCAGCTCTAGCTATTCAAAATACTACAGAAGTCAAATTTCATTCTCACCATTTCCGTGGAATTTTTCAGATCAATCTCTTCAGTTCAGATTCTTAAAGCAAAGGCCTTTCTATAAAATAAATGTTCCCAAATATTGTGCTACAGTCCCGGCCCAAACACTGCTGAATATACAAAGAAATAAAACAGTGAAAGCAGTTGATCAAATTATTTAAGGCTGAATCCTGTACGTAAGATGAGTGATTATCTATTTTCAATTTAAGGAATTAACTCAAGAAATTTATGTTAAAGAGATTTTGCTTGCAACAAAGATGGTGTGTGAAACCTCTATCAAAAATTTGTCATTGTAAATGTACATATGTTCTCCCTTAATACTGAGTAATATCAGTAAGGTTTATAATAATGATCAAACAGTTATTTACACCATTTCTAAAAGACAACGTGGCGTACAAATTATTTGACAATAAGTTAACAAAAAACTACCTTATCAGCTCACACACAATATAATTATATTTCTACTCAGGCACAGAGTGGTTGCTTTGCACAGACACCCCACAGCACACCATACCTTGCACATAGAATACTTAGTACTTTGGACAGATACCTAACATATTTATACTTCATTCGATTATAAAATATTGCACAAAATGGCGTAACTAAAGGAAACACAATAAGCAAAGTACAAGTTTACAATTTCAAAGGAAAAAAATTACGTAAGTACTTTTCTCTCATGAAAATATCCCATTTTCAAGATGGAAATTGTAGCACAGGTTTTATAAATTGTGTCATCCACCAAAAGTATCTCTCAAAGACTATCACAAACCAAAATACTTCAAAAGGGTTTTCATTCGAGCACAGCAAAAACAGTTGGAAATACATTCACTGTACATATTTGTTCATACAAGTACCCTGACAAATTTTTCAGTTCAAAAAGCTCCAATTACACAAACTTCTGATGAAATGATTTTTTAATACATGTATTAAAAGCTAAAATTCTGTCCTCTGCAGCAATATATACATATATAGTACTATAAAGAAGATAGAAAAGATTTACAAGAGTCTGTTCTTCAAAAACAGTAAGGTACAAAAAATTAAAAACTATAATTTTATTACAGAGAGAATACATTTCTACAATTACATTACTTAGGAAGAACTGTATTAGAAAAATATGTTACCCTGGGCATTAATTTTAGTGGGTGGATAAGCTAAGTCTGACGCATGACTCCCCGGTGAATACTGAATACTGGAATATAAATTTGTATTGTTCTGGTAACCATCTAAACCATAGAGCTGTGTCGGGTTTGGGGGCTGGTACACATCACTGGGGGATACTTCTGGTGGGTAGGCGGGGTCAAGCTGTGGGGGTGTGTCAGGTGATTCCTCTGAATTGCGCTTTTTAAGTTTCTTCTTTTTCCTCTTCTTGGTTTCACTTGGAAATTTCTCTGACTGCCCAATGTAGGTGGTCCCATCTTCAGCATAGCTCAATCTGTTGAAACATGAGACTAAGAAGAATTACTAACATCTTCTGTATGAAAAACAAATAATAAACAATCCATGACAACCTTTTTGAGAATAATTGGACGAGAGAAAACTGGAAAAAACAATTTAAAAGGAGCCAAACACCAATCACAGCAATGCAAACAAACTATGAGAAACTTGATGATGATCAAACATGTACAAATAATCTTGGATAAATACTGTATGTGCACGTTTTGCACACACTCACAGCAAAACCAAATGTAAAACTAAGAACCTACTGAGAAAGCAATATATGAAAACATACATTTAAGTATGACTGACACCAACTCCGCAGCAAGTACATGTATTTGCCCTTCTGAATGACACTTACGCAGGAATAGATTTTAAATTCGCCGAAGCATAAAACATGTTTAGTGAGCACTATTTTAAGGTTAACAGCAAATGCGGTGTTTCTTAAAAGATGGAAATTCTCATATGCCAGGAATCATTTTGCAGCTATCACGAAAATACACTTCTGGCCACATTTAGCTACAAAGCATGCAAGTAAAAAGACACTTGAACACAACATTTTGGCCTGAAGTAAACATTGCATACTTTGGTGCAACAGCATCCACAGCTTCTTGGGTGCATTCCTTCGCACCATCATCCAAGTTTCCAAGTCCCTCTTCATCTTCTGGGTTTGCCTTTCTCTCTTTGGTGGTGGCTAAGAGTGTGTCGTCAGTTACGAGTGACTTAAGGGCAGGGTTGCTGTCGTCATTTTTCACAGCACAATCGATATAATTAAAGGCTTTCAAATCCGGTGCCAAGACCACACAGGTACCCTCCTTACTTTTAATAGGGCCTTGGTTCTCTGCCTTGTCCAGGATCTGGGCAATTTGGTAGCGTTGCTGTGAGGGAGGGAGGAGGGATAATGGGGGGGGATAAAAAGTGGAGGTCGACAAAGTGAAGAGGTATTATGGTAAAGGAATGAGGAAGACACAGGATTAGGAAGATGGACAGATGCAAGAAGGTACAAGATGAGGAAATGTTGAATGGGGAAAAAAGAAACAAGAAAAACAAACATTAATTAACTGTTCATTTCTGGTATTTTCCACATATTTGATCGTTAAACAAGAGAAACCCCCGACATCACCACTTTTATGAGTCATACTGTTGGCATGTATTCGTTTTCTTCAACTTAAGGCACAAAAGGCATGTGTTTGTGGAATGCTGTGTCATGCTTTGTAAAACTGAACGGTGTACAAGAAAGTCTTCTACTTACTCTTCTCTTTGCTAGGCTGATGTCAGAAGGAGTGTCTGGGATGATGTAAGCAATGAAGAACTTGACTGACAACACAATATGCTAAAATACAACATGGTATAAAACATGACAATTTAGTCAAAGGTTGCAGTTTGAGGGATATGAGCAGAATTTGCTCTATTAAGAGCCAGCTATAGGAAGAAACAAATTTCCAAAACAGCACAAATCCCTGAAGATGGCCATGGTCACAACTCTCCTTAAAAAAATTAGGCTCTGAAGTTGGTTATACCTTTTCAGCACAAGTTCAACATACTCATTTTTCATTCTGGTTGCCTGCAGTTTCAGGCAAATCCAAGGGAAAGGATCTGAGAACTAACCTCAAAGGCAATGACAACCCAGAGTCTCTCAGCTAAGGTGAAATTCTGAGACCACTTAGCAGTGAAGGCAATCAGGAAACCATTGGTCACCACACCAGCAAAGTTGAGGAAATCCAGAATGCTGTACCACATGCCTAACCAGAGGAAAAATATCGTGTTCTTCCTCCATTACCAAATCCCTGAAACATGGTTTGTATTTGAATAAACAAGGGAATAGAGCTAATGTAATCACAACAAAAGATGTCAGAATCTATCTCCAATTTCACATCTGTAAAACAACCTACACTGTATGACAAAGCCCAAAATGTGACTTCCATATTAAGTAAGTCTTCACTGTGTTCAGGGGAGATACAGATCTTGACATCTTACTGAAAAACTACATGATAAACTTACCTATACCACCAGATATGAAGGCAATAGGACGTCTGTTCATCCACAACATACGTGTTGCATCCACTCTGATATCCACTAAGAGCACTAGGATAGCTATGAATGGAGCCAAGGGTAAGGCACAGGAAAACAGCTGGACAGAAAATATGGAGAAAGCGAAATGATGAATGGAGGCAGAAATTGACAAAATGTGGGGTCATCAAACTGCTTTGCTAATTTGGGAAAAGGAATGGGAAATCACTCAACAAAAAGCTGATTGTCTCTGGAGGATCTGTTTCATAATGCAGCATTGTAAAAGTAAATTTGGTAAAGTGTCTCGTTTTGGGACAGAACATACCATGAGGAAGCCATACTGGATGGTCTTCTCAGTGAACTCTCCCAGTGTGAAGTTTCCCAGAGGTGGCTTGGCTCCTTCCTTCCTCATGAAATCAGCTTTCTCCATTTTACTGGCCTCCACATCTGCCACTTTATTCTTCCCTCTGCAACAGCAGCATTTCTTCAAGACTTTCTTGAGCCAACTGTGGAGGAAAGATATACAGAACTAACCAATGAAGGCATTCAGAGGGTACATCTGTAATGAGGAGGCTTGTGCACTCATTTCAACCTAAGTGGAACTCAAGTTTTTACCAACTGGACTTCACTGACGGTAGAAATAGGATGCGCCAAGATGAAACTTAGCTCTGTTATAAGAACTCTAAAGCTCTTGGTTGCATTTTAGTTGGATTTCACATTGGAAGCAAATGTTCTGGCCAACAGATAGGATCTGTGATCAAAGATGTAACTATCTATTGAGTTTAAAGATAGAGAAGAGGTGTGCAATATGTTATCTATCAAGGTGATCAAGACTTACGGTATGATAATGTCTTTCAGGAATTTAGGAAAGGGCTTGACGATCATAAGCACAAAGACCTGAAGAGATAGCAGAGGCATGCAGATGTTGTCATCCCCACAGCTATCTTCATATTGTTTACCCAGGTAAAGTATGCCGTCCTCAGCAGTCAGCTGCAAAAGAACAACATGTCAATCAGACGGCCTGGTAAATGGCACATGCACTCTCAATAATCAACAGCATACTTTACATGATAAATGATTTGTGAGGAAAATATTTTTACTGGACTGAATTGAGTCATCAACCCGAGACTTCATGTAAATGAGCTTCCAGACCGAAGCTTTTCACTACTAACTGTGGTACACTACTGATGATTTCACACCTATTTATCAAACACTGCAAAGTAAGTTCATTCTAAGAACTCTGAAATAGATCAAGTCACCATTGGTATTTTTTCAACACAGAGAGGGGCTGCCTTCTTCATGTAATTGCACAAATGTCAAGCAGTTGACTGTTGAGTGTAAGAAGAGACATCTTTTTACAATTGTGGGACCATATATCAAGGATGTTAAAGTACAAACCATGTTACGCCGATATAAAAACCATGTTTAAATAAATAGGTGTGTTTGTACCCCTCTGAAGAATGCGATGTAGAAGAGTGAGGCATAGCTGTTGACAAACTGGAAAGCAAAAAGCTTCATGATCAAGGCATCGTCATACTGGCTCTGGGTCCGATGATTCTCTGTCAACAAATAAATCAGCACTTAACAAATTAGTACTGCAAAAATACAACATGTGTTCGACATGACAAGAATAAGTGGCAGATTTCAGATGTTGTGTGTTGTGTTTCTTCAAGAGGAACTTTTCATCCTTAAAAGATGTGACACGCTTGATCTCAGTTTCCTTGCAAAAACTTCACCACGTAGATAGTGTTGTGAAATTACTCAATATGAACTGTTGATTGATTATTAGTTAATGATTATTGGTTCTTACTGGTATTATTACCTGACAGCGCACTCTGTGATTATTAGTTCGCTCACGCTGCATCTTTGCCACTTCAGAGTGCATTGACAGTGCACAGTTGAGTGCCACATGTAAACAGCGCGCACTTGCTTGATTGGTCGCACTAGCGCCCTCTTGCGATGAAGCGTGAGACATTAATGTTTGCTACGCTGCACGCTGTTTTGTTTGTGATTTATTAGTAAATGTTATGATAGAATGTTTTGTTCTTAATTCTCTGTAAAAGCAAGCCCAACCTGTATAAATAGCCCCGCTAGATTGTAGATAGTGAGTTCGTGTTCTGACCTTGGACCCTTCAGATCTGTGCCCGGAATTAAACCAGCTGTGAAGTATAGATCTGTGTGACTGCCCTTTTATTTGCCCGTTTCGATGGCAAACCCTCGACACATTGAAGAACAATCGCCAATAAGAATTTTTTTGCGTTTATATCATCAAACAACACCTGCAACAATCATTAACCATTCTTACAACTAATGAATGTCAAGAATACAAGATAACTCTGAAAGTTTGTGGCGTGTAAGCATTCAATTTTAACGGGAAACCTCGTATCATTTTTGTTATTTTGATATTAAATTCTTGTGAATATTCTATTTATGATATGCAAATAAACTATACCTATACCTACCAGAAATATCAATCAAAAGAGAAGTTTTGTCTGACTTACCCCAATCTGTCAACTTGTATGCGATGTAGTCATACAACTGAAAGAAAAATTGGACGAAATATCAATGATAACTATCAAGTCTGTGCGAATACAACCTGGTGTTGTTTAGGATGTGTAGGGAACAATTGATAACCTAGACAAAAATCGTAAGGCACAATGGCCACATAATCTACTCACTCTTCCTAAGATCATAATAGAGATGGAGTTGAGAAGAGTGGCTGCAACTGTAGATAACAAGATCCTTGGCAGGGTGGAGGAATCTGCCAATAAGACTCCAATGATGACGCGATAGATGATAACACCCAGTGCACTAGCTATGACAAGCAACGCCTGCAAGCACAGGAGAGATGGGGATATCTTTTAATATCACCCCTACAAAAAATTGTTCATGCCACAAATTAAAATGGGCAAGGACCAAATCATAGCTTCACTTTTGAAAACAGGCACAGTCTACAGTTGGAGAGACAAGAGGTTCTTTTTCAATGCGCAACTTCCTTGAAGGAAAAATTCCAACAATTCTCACCACAGGACAAAAATGCAATCTTACCATGAAGATGAGAATGCCAAAAGATGCCATGAACTTGAGAAATTGTTTGTAGAATGGGTAGTACCAATCTGGCAGGCTGGACACAGGATCCTAAAGATGAATCAAAATGCAGCATTTGACAAAGCTCAAGCAACTAATTAAGAAACTACAAAAATAATGAAAAAAATCAAATAAGTTTCTACATGAACAGAAGGATTTTGTTTAAGAAACAAAACTTATCAGTACAATGATTTCACCTGAAAGTATTACCAGCAATTTGCTGGGAGGGTCTTACCATTTTCAAAATCTTGAAAAAAGATTACACCCAAACCATTAGAGTCTCATCTTCAAAGGACTGAAATTTGCTCCAATGTCCTTAAGACAAAGAAATCATTACCTCCCGTTCTTTGGTTCCATAAAATTCTGGGCGATCAGGCTCAGTAAAATGGTAACTGGACACATCCCACTCATAAGCCAAACGAGCATGTTTCCTCTTCCAGCATTCTTGGAAAAGAGTTCCTGATGGGGGAGATCACATCGAAAGATTGAATGAACCAAAAAACATCAACCAGTGACACGACTTATATTGACCACAGATGAAAAGATTTTGCAGTATAGCAAGGCATGAAGCTCAGAGTTGTAGCTCATTTAACAAATGCAAATGCTGCTCAAAGGTTAGTTCATTATAAAACTGAAACAGATGAACTACATTAATTTTTCCACTGGCAAATCTGGAATGATATCTGTAAACTTACCCCAAAGACAAATGACGAGAGCAAAGTACGGCGTAACTGCTGAATCAAATGATTTCTGAAAGACATCTAGAATCTCAAGAGACTTATCAGCAATGCTAGAGGGAGAAAGAAATATAGATTTTATTAGAATGTTGAAGGTTTAATTAAGATTGTTCACTTCTCTGTCAATGGGCTTTAAGTTATTTCTATAAATCATAAAAAGGGGCTATGATAAGATAACTCTGTATTATTAAAGAACGCATTCCTTGAGATTTGGGGGTCAGGAGACTCGACACCTGCCTTTCACATTGGTACTGCAACAAATTTACGATCACAACAGATGTACTGAAAGAGAAAATGGGTCACAGTTGGGCAAAACGGCTGGATCCCTTTGTATTCAATGTTAGCTTGACTGTGATCTTACCTGCCAAAGAAGGAGTCTTCCTCCTGAGCACGTGCAGTTAAGTTCTGGTAGAGTAACCTGTCTTCTGTCCTGTTGTACAAGGTGATATTCTCTCTGACAGCATCAATCAATTCATCTCGCTGTCTGGCCATCTCAGCTAAGCCCTCATTGTATTCCATGTTGTCCTTGATGCTACACAACCAAACAAAGGATCAATGTTAATTGGACATTCAAACGTGTTTAAGTGAAGTAGTTTTGCAATATTATATTTGTATCAAACTATACCTTACATTCAAGATGCTTTAAAGACTATGTTTAAAGAGGGCATTTTGAAAGCCATAAAATAAGCTACATATACCACAACTGTATTTTCTACTTGCTTCATCCTACAAAACAATTACAACAGAACTTTTAACAGAAAATTACAGTTAGATTTATGACAGACTCTGCAGCCCTCACATAAAAAATCACATTTCTAACCTGAGATATAATCCATCGGCCCAGATAGCAATGCCAAGCAGCACAGGTAGCCAGAGAAGGCTGGCCATTTCACCAGCCCAGGCAAAGTAGAAGGCAATCTTCTCCCCAAAGTAGTTACGGATTTTCCAGAGAGGTTGGAACTTCCACCATCGGCACCAGGTTCTATGCAATGCCTGCAAATGGAATTGGAGAGACAAACAGTCTGCAGGTGTCAGTGCATTCATTAAGCTCTCATCCCCAAGAAATCTCCAACAAAATCTTCCTGAATCTTCCATACTAAGAACGAATGCACAAAAATAAGATAAACTGTCTCTTAACCAGTAATTTTCTACAGCTTTTCAGGCAATTCTATAAGCTATGGATGCCCTTCAAGTTACTGACCTCTCTAGGGTCAGAGTTGGGGTTGAAGTCTCCCCGCTCCTTGCTGAGACTTCTCTGTATCTCCCTTGTCTCCTCATCTTCCTCCAATTCATAAGGAGATTCCTCATGCATGATGAATCTGTCTGTATAAACTTTCTTCATCAGCATAAATGGCAGACCTACCGGGGAATACAAAATAAGTTGTTTGGCCGTCTTTAAAATTTACTTGGATGACGCAAAGGTATGAAGGACAAGATTAGCTCCATCTCAAGCACCTGAGACTTGCATCAGGTCATTTCGAATTGATGCTCACAATATTTACTAAGAACGAGCAAGCAACATAGTTAGTCAAGACATAAGCTGTTTTAACTACATGTACATGTACTCTGTAATCCCAAAAATGGAACTATTTCAAAGATGGATTTGCACCAGGGAGACGAAATTAATTTTGGATTTTGCCCTGCCTGACGTGTTTCCGCTTGAAATTGTTTGTGGTTTTTTTCACAAGCCTTCGGGACAAAACACTGAGTATACAGTGTTAAAATACATGTCGGGCAGGGGAAAAATCCAAATTAAAAAATGGAACATTCTAATAAGAGTACAAAAGAAAGTGAATTAAAAAAACGACAAAAGGTTACTTGAAAAATACGTTTAGCATTTTTCACTTGAATTCCATTGTCTCTGCTTGAAATAGTAACTGGAACAAGAAAAAGAAACCTGAAGCAGGGGCGAAATGTTTTCAATAAAACACAAAACTAATCTTGCAACAGTTTAACGCAATCATGGAAATACTCAAATAATTCATGCAAATGATCATTGGCTAGAAAGAACTTTGTAACAGCATTCCTTTTACAGACTTTGCAAGAATTTCTTAGATATTGTAAAAGGTTTCCTTCAAACATACCAAATAGCAAACTATCAAAACATGCATAAGCAGAACTGCTGAAAAGGAACTCCGAGTACAGATGTGGGTGTTATATCTACCTTTCCTATGTTCTGGCATCAAACGCATCTTGGCTGTCAAAAACAGCAATTGATTAACACTATGCTCCAAAGACCACCTCGATATTAGCTCCATCACTTTTCTAAAGCAACAAACTAAAGCTCCATTCAGCTTTGTGCCAATTTTTTTCACATCGCACGTGCCCACAGGGATCCTGAATGCTGAATAGAACTGTTCACCAGACACTTACAAAATGCGCTTACAAATTTTAAAACATCCAAAAGGAGGGGGTATATTCCCATCCCTGACTATCACTACTTGTGACGTCACTTCAAGTCAACCTGTACTGGACTCAAAGAAAAGCTGCGATACCGTCTTGTTGAACCACTTACCTTTTCGTCTCATGGAGTCTCTGAAGTCAGTGTTCTCATCCCCTTGCTCTCGTACATCAATGTTGATCAAGATGTTGTGAACCTGGTTAACAAAAATAATAAAGAGTAAAAAAAACGGTTATAAACTCAAACAGAGCTGGCTTGGTCTTTACATTCAGTACAGCGTGCTTTGTACAAGAACGTGTGACATAACCTACCAGGAGTGAACGCAATGCTGGGGAGAAGAATGTATCTGGTTGGTCAATTCCCTTGAATACCGCCCTCTTCTGAACAATGAAGGGTGCACTCACAAAGTCAACTGCAGACCAAAATAAGAACAACAGATTGTTAGAATGTTACACCATTTGTAAAAAAGTCAAATCCCACACACATTTGCTTGCTGACTACAGTTGAGATTTTTGCCTCCGGTCTTTTTGTTCAAAGCACATCTGATACATTTTCTAAGCAATTTGAATGGACCACGAGCACAAAACACGGGTAAAACCAAATTTGAAATGATTGTTAAAATAATCCAACCTTCATCATCTGTTACAAAGAGAGACTTGAGTTGATCTAAGTATCCATTCGCTTGCTTTGGGGGAATAGCTGCCTGCCAATGCATATAAAAAACAAAGAACAAAATATGAAGAATGAAATATTTCAACAGTCAGCAAAAAGAGACATTTAAGGAAAATATTCATGAGTAACACAAGGATCCAGGACGTGCCCCCACTCACCTCAGTATTACCACTATGATCAACTCCCCCCTCCATCCCCTATGGGGACTTGTCCCCCCCCCATTGCCCCCTCTGAGAAGAACCTGGCAAGGTAGGCATGGGGGACAACTCACCCCCTCTTCATGGGAACTCTTCATCAGTGCACAGAATCATTAAAGGTATGCAGTGTTTTTCACTTCTTACCCCTTCCAGAGGCATTTCCAGTTTAACCTCCTCTGCCTCGAGGCACATTCTCTTGAATGGACAATGGATCAAGACATAAATCTTCTCTCCCATGTCCCTCTCTCTGATCTCCAGCCCTTCCTTCTCCCTGGCTGCTCTATGGAACCTCCTCCTCAGTTCCATCCTGTTCTTAAAGTCCTCAATGTCATCATTATCCTTAAAATCATTTTCATCTTCCTTGGGATACACCAGGATATAGTCTATCCTCTTAGGAATGATCGTCTGGGTTGCAGAGTTGGCCTTGCTGGGTGATTTTTTATCCTTGCGTTTCTTCTTCCTCTTCTTGGATTTGTATTCGGCTGTGCCGTTTTGCTCAAGTGATGGCAGTGGGCGAAGTTTGAGTGGCTTACCACCATATGTATCATCATAATCTGGGTACAAGTCGTCCATGTTTTGCTGCCTGATGAAGAAAAAAATTTATTTTCTTTGTTGTACTTTTCTTTTAGCTTAGGATCAGCTATAAAGTTACATTAAAGAAAACAATGACAGTCTCAAAATCCACAACATCCTAGCAGACCTACCAAGTTTCACACATTTGGCATGACAGTCACCACTCTTTCTCACACTCACACACCTGGCAACCATTTTCTCACACCTGAGAGCCAGACCGGAAAAAAAAGCAATGCAATTGGCGAGTCTGTAAGTTGCATGGACGACTGCTGCCGCCTAGCCGCAATACAATGTGTATGTGAGTAGTATATGCACTACAGTGCACGCGATCACTAGATCTACATACATCTACGATGGATCGTACTTGATGAGGCTGCAGCTCTGTAGCACTATGTACGCTATTATAGAGTCAGTAACGTGGTCCTGTACACAGCTAAATTCGGTAAGAGTGAGTACGCCATGCGTTGTTTGAAATGAGAAGATGGATGCCTACACTATAATAATAATCAGAACAACATCATGGAAAAGAGATGATGGACCATTTACACAAGTGACTTGGGACCCTGTTGTACTTTAAGGGCACCAGATCGCACAATTTTGAGCTAAAAAATGCTAAAGCTCCCATCATGGGAGGGAGGAACCCGCCTCCCACTCCCTCACATGGGAAATCTCACTGTTAGCTGGTCTTTGGCCTTGCATCTCTGTCCTAGTATTCTACTTGATTCTATTCTGTTCTTTGCTGGCAATTAGAGCAGACTCTGGAAGGGTAAGGAAGTTGTTTTTCCATTTTTTCCCCTCTTTTTAATTTTAACAAATGGCGTGGACAACGTGGCGTGTGGGCACAGTGGAACGTGGACCAAATGGGCAAAGTGGTTGTGGGCAAAGTGGAAAATGCATGAAATGACAGTAGGCCTAAAACATGATTTGGAGCCTAGGACAACAATGTTTATATTTTACTAAAAAGATGAAAATGCTTTGCTCCCAAACAATTGGTTTGTCAAAGTGTACAGGAACCAACCACAAACAGAATAGAGGTTATTAGGCAGAGTTGGAGGCTTTGTATCATTAACATTATATCATGTACTAGGACAGGCTTTTAAAAGGGAAGAGTTCCATATACGGACGTAATTATTCCCTAGAGTGACCTATTCCGAGAAAGCAAAAAATGTCCAGAAAAGTTCAATTTAGGAGGGAAAAACTATGTCTTTTACTTAGAAAATACTTTTCTCAGACCAGTCCCATAGGGTTTATGCATGGGGTGTCAAGTGGCGTCCGTATATGGAAGTTGGAACTCTTTCCTAGTTTAAAATAAACCTTGGTCATATTTGTGCATTGAAAAATGCATTCGATCATTGTAAATTTGTAGCCCAATTAGGCCTAAATAAAGCCCCCCCGAATGCCCACACACCAGCAATATTTGCCAAGTCTCATACATTATTACATAATATAATATATAATAACATAATAATTTCAACAAGAAACGATGAGAAACTCATAACAATTTAACGTTAGTTCTCAACAAGTCAACAAGGTCTACCTGAAGCGCATTGCCACGGGTGATTATAAACAAAACAGGGCAAGGCAGCTTGGTCGACTCAGAGACAATTTCCATGTCGGGATGCCAAGATTGGATATCAATTACCATGGAACTCGCAATTAATCGATATTGAAAGATTCCAGATCCATGCCCACCATACCTGCTTAAAATTATTTAGAATAATTTAATTCTTCAGTCCTTCGGTGTACACAGGTGGTTCTCCGTCGACGTTAAATGCACATATCGAGCCTTGAGTTGACGAGGTACATGCGTATATATATATGCAGCTGGCTCTCGCGCGCGGGTCGCAGGCGCCAGTCATGGCAGGGCATAGGCCTGCACACACATCCCAATCCTGTTGCTAGGAGACAATTAATCAATCTTTTTGATTTTGGCAAATTTCGTTATCAACGCATCACAGGATTGAAGATAATTTCAATGTCATTGACACCATTCCTTTCATAGCTTCATAAAACCATTATAAATGTAAAGGGAAAGAGAAATAAACCCAGACCGCGATGAACAGTAGCCTAATTCTTCATAAACCTTAAAGTGCCCGCACTACGTTTGTAGGCTCGTTGGTCTAGCGGTATGATTCTCGCTTCGGGTGCGAGAGGTCCCGGGTTCAATTCCCGGACGGGCCCAGTTTAATTTTTTTTACAGCAAAATGTATGGGTTAGTATTTTTTTGCACCGTTACAGCAATTAATTAAATATATACAACCTCTCCAAGTCTTCTTTTTATTTTTGTTCATGAGGGTTTGCAGCGGCGCGGCTAAGGTCGACGTTTGTGCAGTTTTTCTGGCTGTTCATATCTACATTGTTCTCCGTAGGTGTCGCGCTTGCTCTGTGTGGGCGAGCCAATGATCTCTCTACTAATACTGACAGCGCATGTAAAGTACAATGTACATGTACATGTACATCCACACGCTAAGTAACATCTGGGGACGAGCCGCGCACAAACAAGTGGCTGAATCATGGGTACGGGCCACTAATTCAAGCCTCGTTGAAAACAGTGTAAATTCAGCACTGTTCAGGGCCCAATAGCATGCACGCCAACATCCCTGAGATTTCAGAAACACAAATGAAATTATTGCCAAGTCCCTAATCTTTCAATTTCTTTTCAATTTTTTTGTGGGTTAACCAATTACATTTTTAATTATTCCCACAAAACAAAATCACCCACCGAAAAGTTATTTTTCCGAAGTCCGATTGCAGCGGCCATTTTTCGAATGGCAACCCTCAACTTTCTGGGGCACTTACGACCTTTTTCAACGGTAGTTTTAGCCCTTCTGCTCTCATATGAAAGCCCGGGAGTTGATCCTGGCAAGGATTTACATACTCTCACCATTTGGGGGGGCCAAACAATCTCCTTTTTCAAAAGATACTGAGGGGGGGGAACTTTTAATGCTAATGAGCTGGCCAGAAATTCTCACTTGAATTAGTGGTCTGAACCCTCACGGGCTCAGAGCCGCACTTGCGGTTCTGCATGGGCTGAATGTGCAGCGCCCTCTGGAACTCACAGTCGTGGGTGCGTCCGTAAAATGCAAAGTGTCAGCGTCGGCCAACTGCTTTTGTAGAAAAAATCAACTTTTAGAAGATCTCAAACGCAAAGCCGATACAATGATATACTCCATAAGATATCTGATTAAGTGGAAGTGACCCAGAATACCTATGACGCTTTTCACATCAATGTTCCTCTCGAACGGACACATGTAAACGGACACAAAGTGTTCCGTGGTCTGAAGGGTTGGGATTGATTCATATGACCTTCACACCCGACCATGAACCCTATAGCCTTCCAGTTTCGACGTGAATAGATCAATAAATCTGGAAGAATTACAAGGGGAGTTGTGACCAGTAATGGTGCGGTGCGCTGTTTAAAAGTGAACAGGTGATTGAGTCACCTCCACAACAGGATATGATCCCATTCCAGCTCGCTTGCAAACAGCTAATATCGTGGAAGTTCGTTTCTGTCAATTTACGTTGTATTTTCGGCACAGTGCTATGCATGCTAATTTAGGCGGTGTTGAATGAAACGATTTTCAAAATTTCAGAGAAATCAGCCTTGCTTTTATTACAAAGCCTGTTTTATGATTACGGAAGATATTCTTGAAAACTGTTTCCACCTTGTTATTAAAACAGGTCTGCAAAGAAATTATATTGTTGCTTTGATGTTCTCTACACTATTGTTTCAGTTTGAGGCCAGGCCAACATTTCTCCGACTCGGGTAACCATGTTGACACTTAAGCCTTATTATACAAAACACTTGATTTATAAAGAGGAGGGAATCTACAGAAAAGACACCCACATCGTGTTAATGAGAATTCCAGAAAACCTCAAAGGAAAATGGAAAATAGAATCAGATCAACAGAACCATTACAATGCGGACATTTTTACTGCCATAAATTACTCGGTACAGCCTTGGCCACTTTGGGAAACAAGCACGAACCTATACCCTCTATTGGTGGTTTCAGTAGTGTTTAAAGGAGGAAAGAGACGGGAGACGAGAGACATGTATACACATAATAGTGGCGTAACTAGAGCTAAATTTCGGGAGGTCACCCGGGGGTACACACATTTTTTCAAGGGGGCACTTCAAGAAAATATGCAGCTGCATCACAACGGACATAATTCAAAGATTTCAAATGGGGGACACCTGGGGGCACGGACCCCCTTGACCCCCCACCCACCCACCCATACACCGCTCCGTAGTTACGCCACTGCATACACATCTTCGGCAGAGTCGTCACTTTGGGTAGATGCTTGTCTGAAAACAAAACGATGCAAGGTACGATGAGAATGTAAGCGTGCACTCTCTCAATTTCAGAGGTTTTTAACTCATACATTTTGTTTAATAACAATAACAAATCTTTTGTTATTTTTATCACACTTTCACTATTGAAATATTACCAGAAAACTTTCTTCGAGATAGTTAGTAAATTCCTCAGTGCGGACCACCAATAAGACTAAAGCCTCTTGTTAGCCGATGTTCGATGACTTATGACTACGGAAAGTACCGCCCAGTAAGCATCACTTGAGGTGAGTTATCGCTTCGTATTACGCCCAAGAGCCAGGTAAACAAAATACCACCAAACCTCCAGTCTTTCCCCAACCAAAGACGGACTGGAGACGTTGTCATGATGCCATGGTTCACCCGAAGGAAGTTGACCGTTCCATCGCGAGCTTTGCCGGGACGTGGCCTTGGGGCTTAGTGTAAGGGTTGGTGGCATTTGGATTCTCTTTCAGACAGTTACAAACCAGGAGGCTGAAGGCTTTTTGTTGCAAGTTTTTCCACGATATGATGTTTCTGTTGGAAATGACGTTTCTAGAATGTTGATTTGATACCTGCATAATCACACCGTCACGCCCTCCTGTCCAACTGTAGGATTTGCCCTGTTTTATGTACAAATCAGAACGACGATCCCGCACATTATTTTCTATTTGGAACTTCCTGGTGCATTCGACGAATGAATCGGGATGTAACTGAGGACGTACATCTAGCGTTGGAGGGGGGTATTCACCAACTTTTGTCCGAGTGTTAGTAAGCCTATAAAAAAACATACATGTAAATTTCACGTAAAGCTCCTGTAAAGAATGACAGGGCATCTGCAAATTAATCAGGCAAAAAGGTGGGCATTTACTCTTATAATGAACAGCAATTAATACATGTATTTCAGTTTGACAGAAACTATTGAGCACCCCAACCGCTTATTGAATTGAACACGGTCTGCGGGATTTCGGTTATTGCATGTTGTCATACCCCTGCGACTCGAACATATGCCCCTGTTGGATGCAATATTATGTATTAAATTTCCTCTGAGGAATAAACTCTCTTAATTTATCATACCTAAACATGGATCTCATCTTCTGATGTCACTGACTTCAAGCATGTAAATGCTGCTTCATCTTGGGTTTTTTTTGGGGGGGGGTTTAGTTCCTGCTTTGCATTTGTCATGTACTCTCCACGGACACGATTTCCAATTTGTATGGCCATGGTGCGTGAATCCGTGTTGTCCCATGTTGCAAGACGACCTTACTAAGTACAGAAACTGCCCGCGTGTTCTGTCTTATTCAAGGGGTAAACGGAAAAATCATGTACCAGTTGCATCCCAAGAAAGCTGTAAAGTCTCTGAACAGTGACAGTTACACTGTTTCCCGGCAGCAACTATGGAAACAGTGGAAAAGTTAGGTTATTGGTATCGTGGTGTGATTAAACTAACAGTTGAAATGTGATGCAAAACATGGCACATGTACATGTCATAAAGATAATTCTTTCTGGCTGTTTGAGGTCAAAAAGGAGGTTAGGTTGAGGAACCAGGGGCTTGCTTTTGCCTCCTTCCTCCCGAGCTCTGGTAGGGTATAGCAGAGGACATACGTGTAGGCCTACACGACGTCCTTTCCTGCTGTACATGTACATTATATCTTAGTTAAAAACGCTAGGATATTTTTCTAATGGATAATTTGATTGAAATGACAAGAAGTTGACATTGAAATCAAGAAGCAATTGGCCATGTAAATGCTTTGGCGATGGTTACACAGTAATTTTAAATTATATGCATGGACTCACAATGCAAGAACAAAGGTGGGAATGAAAAGGTGTAAAACGCATTGGCGTCGTCGAAGATTGCCAAACAGTTTTCCCAAGCCCATTTAAACAGTCTCTTTCAGCCCTGGAAGACCAAGACTTCCGTTTAAAACTCTAAACAGAAATCCGGTGCAATTTTCGTGCCTACAAGCAATATTACTGAAATTCCGATAATTTTAAAAAAATAACCTACGACATCTGTACAGGTTTTTTAAGCACAATCATTTCTGTCCTTTATGAGTTTAAACTGCAGCCGTACTAGCGATTAAGTAATCAAGACGTTGAAGTAGATTATCGGGAGGAGTGGGAGGGGGGCGCCCAACAGGAAATGATGACTTTGCGTTTCGTCGGAAAGCAGTCTGACCCTCGATTATAACCCTACAGACGCGGATATGTCTATACCTGTCATATTCCAAGATTTACGACTTCAGCCACACATTCGGAAACCTGTTGGTGAGCCTGAAATACAAAGTGAGACGTTTCAATGACTCCTTATTTGCATGAAGACTGTGGAATGAAAATACATGTAAGGATAACTAAAACTTGGTGAGACGAAGAAACCTTTTTCTTTTTGAACGCACAAAATATACGGCCCGTGCTATGCATTTTTTTTCACGCACCTTTGTGTCCAAAATCACTTTCTTCTCTTCTCTTCTCTTCTCTTGTCTTCTCTTCTCTTCTCTTCTCTTCTCTTCTC